TTTCTACTATTAAATGAAGAAGAAGAAAAGTAAATCAGAATTCAACAGCAATCGTAGATAACGAGCTAAAGTGACAAAATGGCAATCCCGTCCTTGATTGCTACCGACTTGTAAATGCGTTGCAGGCGTTTTGAGGCTGCCAAAGGTGATGCTAGTTAGCATTGGAAATGTCGGATCGTATTCATGAATAGCTAAACAGAGGCAGTCGCCGCGGGTTACACGATTCATCAAACGTGCTGGGCTGGTGACGCAGCGTGAGGCTGAGCTTTAATTTATAAAATAACAGGACGAGGATGGAACCCTGCGGCGGCCCTAAACACTCGAAACGCTCGTGTGAAAACAATTAGTGAAAACTTACTATCGATAGTACTATCGATAGTATCGATAGTTTGAAAATATCGATAGTGGGTCGATAGTATTATACTATCGATGAGACTATCGATAGTTTTTTTTACGTTAAATTAAGTAAAGAAATCATTATCTGGTACTCTTACATTTCATTGTTTGTCTGTTAATGCATACCTATAGTTAATATTATAGACTATTTTTTTTTTATTCATTGTAGAAAAGCTCGGTAGACAAGTAGGCTACCTTCTCAAACATTTGAAAGCGGGGGCATTTGCTAATTCACTACCGGACTTATGGGTACATTTGCCTCGTGGGTTTTAGCATACATAGTAGACACCGGTATACGGTATTTTCCTTTGATCTATGGTTTTAGATTGTCATAAAAAATATATATATATATATATTATTTATGCTATGTGAGTAAAAAAATATTTTTGTAGTGAATAATAAAAAGAAAATAGTAAGAGAATTTTTCTTTTTTTATTGTTGTAACCCTTAAAAAAAAACTTATTGTTATTTTATACAAATGTTGTAATATTTTGGAAAAAAAACATAAAGGGGGCTCCAGGGCGTCACTCATAAATTGTTAAAATTAATAATCTGATACAGCTTTATCTTCGACTAGGTAGAAACCATTGTTTAAACTCATGCAGGCAGGATATATACAATATTATATGCATTAAAATTCCATTTGAGTGACTATCGATAGTACTATCGATAGTATCGATAGTTTTTAAAAAACTATCGAAAACTATCGATAGTGTGACTATCGATAGTAAGTTTTCACTAAAAACAATATGCGAGTACACGCGCGCCCCTTGCGGCCGGTCGAGTAATCACGGCCCACTCGACATGGAGTAAGAACGCGCTGGGAAACGTACAATACAAAGTGCACTGGTAGATATTGGCTTTTAAATTATTGTAAATTAATTTAGAAAATTTAAGTGTATATGAAATAATTAGAATTTACTTTTTCTGAGCGATTTTTAATAGTGAAAAACTTTTGGTTTTAAAAATGATCAAGGGTTTGGTGGAAGAGAGGATGTTAATTAACAAACATAAAAACAAACTTAAAGAGACAATCTTACGAGAGCATTGTAAATCTACATACAGGGTGTTGAAAAAGTCATAACACACCCAAAAATAAATTAAACTGCTTAAGATAAAAGTTAGTAAATTCAACACGTCACTATATGATGTCTTTTCTAGCTTTTGCAAGAAATAAAAATGTTCCCCCCCCCTCCCCCTTTTAGGGTAGATAGAGTAGAGAGCAACTCAATATTTTCAAACGTAAAGACCCATGGTGTGACCCATCATTTTAAAGGTCTTAATTATTAGAATACAATGCTGCAAATTTGAACTCAAACAGATAACCGAGTCGAAAATGGCAGATTTTTATCTTGAATCTGACATTTTTAATCTTTAAAAGGCTAATATTTTTTTTTTACTCAGTTGTTCTATGGAGCTCAAATTTGTGGAATTGTATTCTACTAATTACAACCTTTGATTTTTTGTGCCTTTGACCTATCCATACGTTTATGATTTTCCACGACTTCTAGCGGGCCATCCCCCTGAAAAGATACTACAGTACATAACTGAATTATGCGTTGAAATGGTTTTAATGCCCAGTAACTGTGTACCAAGTCTTGAAGCTCTATCTTTATTACTTTATATTTCACCGTCCCGGGACTTTTTCCACCTTTTTATGACCATTTGTATTTTTAGTGTATGCCGCCATTGTGTAGAGGATTGTCGTACATATTTTTCAATTACACCAAACATTTTCTTTTAAGAAGACCTTTAAAATGAGGGGCACAACATGGGTCTTTATATTTAAAAATTTAGTTGCCCTCTATGTACCCTTAAAGGGGGAGGGGGAAAAATTTTGATTTCTTGCAAAAAGCTAGAAAAGTCATCATATAATGATATGTTGAAGTTGCAAGATTTTATCTTACGCCGTTTAATTTATTTTTGGGTGTGTTAAGACTTTTTCAACACCCTGTATGTAAAATTCAATGTATATGTTTGTAGTTTGTTGTATGTTTGTCCTTTATGTGTTACCAAACCGGACATTCTATCCTTATGTAAGCTTCGGGAAGTAATTCTATACACCCCCAATAAGGTTTCTGTCCCATTTGAATTCTTCAACTCCCTTGGAGCCGCCCCAGTGGCTCGAAAGTTTTCCATGTTTACCTTATTGGTATAAAAGAATCTAAGAATATTTTTGACACCTGTTTTAAATAAACCAATAAGTTGGGTTCTATGATGTGCAATGCAGTTACAATGTTTATCAACAGAATGCAGCACTACAATTTATTTTTCCTACAGTCACCCGACAAAGTTGGCTTCCTTGTACTGTTTATAGTACAGAAAGCTGCTAATTGCTGCATATTTATACTTTGCCGTACGGTTTATACTTTGCCGCACATCAGGATTCCAACGAAACAACACAAAACAGCGTGGTTCTATTATGCACGTGTATTCCGTGTACGCTTGGAAATAGGTTGGCAACACTTAAAGATAATAATACTATGAGCAGCTGATTGACTATTATAACTATGATTTAACCTGTCATTTTGTATTCATAGTTTCGGTATTTCTGAACTTTCTGGACTTTTCTTTTAAACGTTTTTAAAACATTCCTACGATCTTAATAAAATAGAAAATACCTTTAAAGCATTTTTTTAGGGGCGGAAACCACTTCAAATTACAAAAACATACGGAACTATATTCTCAAAACGCGGAGCACATTTCTTGCCCAGGAAAAATAGCTGAGTGATACGGACCGGGTACTACTTTCTCTAGGGCACCTATTTGTGTTGCCAGCTGAACCTAAAAACGTGTTGTATAGTGTTTGAAAGACTAATTATTTATATGCTTTATAGTAACTGTAGGAAAAATATAATGTGTAACACGAGTGCAAAAGGCCTTTGCTGCACTCGCAGGCTCGTGTGTAAACATTGCTCTCGTGTGCAGCAAAGTGCCACTTTGCCCACTAGTTACACAAATAACTATTGTTTTCTCTGTTGCAAAGCACAGTTACAACAGCTTTATTCTCTCTGGAAGAACCTTCATGATTTTAACAAAAATAGGTACTATTCCGGTTGTATCTCCTTTCATTTATACTTTTCATTAGGGTATACCCTTCAACCAAGTGTTAGTAATTGGGTTTTTAATTTCTTTACCCACATAAAATAAAACTTTTGTATTCTTTTTCCATGCCATTTTTATAGAGCTTAAAAAGTGTTGTTGCCCAATGGTTACAGGGAAATTAAAAAAAAAAAACTGTTAATTTGAAAATCTAGTCCGATGCTTATGGAGAATAAGTTAACTGCTGTAGTTTGCTTGTTTTTGGATATATTTTTATCAAATTTATTTATTTCATACATTTCACTACATTTCCCTATCAACATTCCAATAAAAAAAAACACAAAAAAACAGACTTTATTACCTTCCTTACAGAAGCAAGCAGCAAGAACAAGAACTCATTAAAACTATTTATTACTTAAATAGGGGATGAATAAACATTTTGAAGTTAATATATTAGTGAAAACCCCATCAGCAGAGAAATGGAAATACATTTAGTCTATAGGTAAGCTGCAGCAGGGATATTTTTGTATTTCAGACGTATTTTTGATAAACAACTTATAATTCATAATTTTGGAATGAGATTTGAGTCAAGGGCGAAAATTAAACAATGTCATTTACTTAACATAATGTTTATATATTTTGTTATATTGGAAATATAAACAAAATTTAGCAATACCAAAACACAAATAATACAGTAAATTAAATTACACACAAAATCTGTATAAGTCAACAAATTTATAAAGTTTTTAAATTTCCAAACTAATAACGGTTTTTATTGTTTACATTATACTTTACCTTGAGGTGAGTAAATTTAGTAAAACCAAACCATAAAAACAAAAACACAACATAAAATCATTATGACTTGAAAAATCAGTTGTATATTTTATCCATACTAATAATATAAAATAAATAATTTTTAAAAGTATTAGAGTTTACATAGTGTCATGGCTTGCATATTGCTTTTGAGATTCTCGAATTATATACATATGGAGTATATATTACAAAAAAGATTCAACTTTTCCTACTAATAAATCAACTATTTCAAACTTAAAACTATACTTATGAAAGGATGTTATTTTACAAAATGTATATATAATAGAAACAGTTTAAAAATTGTATCACCAAGTAACTTAGTGAGTTACTACTTTATAACATCTTTACACAATTAGGTACTCGACAATACCTACTACAAAATGAACTGCCAATCCAACTGCTAGTGGTTGGATGCCACCTCCATCTTATATGAACCACGTCTACTACTAACAATGAAAAGGCAATTCTTTACAATATAGATCGTATTGAAATGGACCATTGTATATTTAATACTCTGAAAGAAAGTAAATTAGTATTGAAAATATTGTTGTATAAGGTGTACATATAACCCTAAAAGAAAAAAAAAATTTTATTAAAATTGTCACCAAAATTTGTGAAAAACCTCATGAGTCAACTTATAAGGAACTAAAAAACATCACATTAATTTTTCAAACAGATGGATTGATCAGTTCATTTAGAACAACACATATATAAAACAAAGAAAGGTGTTCCTAAAAATTAACTACAGCTGTACAAAAGTATTTTATTTACAAAAGGAATTACCACGAGGAAAGACACCACGGAGCTGGCACTTCTTACCACAGTAGTTGATTCTTTTCAAAGGCACGAAGAGAGCATACTCATTTTGAGCAAGTGATAGTCCAATCTTGTTAAAACTTACATTACAATTATAAATACAACACAGGAGATCAAACCTCAAGTTACGCTAAAATATATTCACTACACCCATAAAACGGTGTTTTGAATAAAAATATTGAAAACTACAAAACTGTGAATATCACAGTCGCGTCTGGCCAGGAAATAGTCACAGACTATCACGTTAACTTAACTACTGATAAAATGATTGGAAAATCAATACAACGATTGCCATCGGTAGAGATTATCCCTGAACCTTTACTCATGTATGTCTTGTGAACACTCTCGTAATAACTTCAAACTCATCCTTACTTACGTTACTTGGACTGTGAATATAAACGATTCACAATAAATAAATAGCTTGAAAACGGATGTGGATTAAATGCTTAAAGGCTCCCGATAAAATTGCACCTTAAAACAAACACAGAATTGTATCCACCTTTTTAAAACAGTCCTTTGATTCGTCTAGAAAATTATGAACAAATTATCGTAAATAAATACACTAGTCTTGTATGAAAACACTTTGTACAAACGTTAAAAAAGGCATTAAATATATATAGGCTCTGGTTGTTTGTTGTTATTTGGACTAGAGATGCCTTCAGACCAGTCCGAGTTGGAGTGAGGGGAGGAGCTCGACCAATAGCATGGTGAGGAGGACTCTGGGGAGGGGGTGGGGAAACTCTCGGGAGTCTGTAAGCTCTCGGAGGGAGGGGTGAGGTAGTGGTAGTACTGCTGTTGTTGCGCAGGAGGGTAACCCATGTAGGAAAGGTCGGAGGGGAAGTCGAACTGCATGGCCTGCGCGTGCTTCTGCGTGGCTGCGCGCATGGCGGCCATGTGTGTGGGAGAGAGAGGCATGGAGGGGCGACTCTTGACAGGGGAGGGGGAGGACACACTGTGTGGTGGAGAGTCTTGATACCCGGACACTGCTTGGTACGAGTATGGGTCCAACCCCAGATTGTGCAGACTCTGCAGAGACACTGCGTTCTTGATACAATCCTCATACGCAGGAGGCTGCGGCAGACCTGCGTTGCTGTAGAGTGAAACGGTCGCTTCTAGACTCATCGCTCCGTCCTCCAGAGTTGAAGGCTTCTTGCTTTTCTTGACACTCGGCTTTCTGCGGATCACTTGACCAGTGAGATCCATGTCCGGACTGTTAGGACTTCCGTTGCCGGACTTCGGCCTCTTCTTGGACTTGCTCGGAGGCTTGCCTGAAGCTCCTCCAATGACGGTGGGTTGGCTTATCAAGTGATGATGATTTGGAGACCCTGTACAGGTAAAAGCAACCATATTTAGTCATGAATAATAGACATTAGCTGTTTAGGGATATCTGATTGAGTACTCAGGCACATGAGTTGCTACACTCTACACCATACCCAAAAGTTATAATACTTCAGTAATATTAGAAACAAACTCTCTCCAAACTTAAATATTGTATGTCAATAACTAAAAATATTATTATTTTTTGTATAATAGTATACAGTTGTGTGTTTCTTGTGCCAGAGTGTCTCTCCCATTTAGGTAAGCTTGTTATCCTCACAAAAATTCTGAAAACCTATCTCCTTATGCTCTATGATCAATTTTTTATTAAAATCAAAGATTAAATTAACATTCTTTTCACATTGACATGTTTCCTAATTTCCCACCAAATATCAAATTCCAAAATATCTGACCAAAATACCAAAAAACACGAATCCAGATCGAATACATGAAAGTGAGATATTCAACCTACCTATGAGAGGTCCGTTTGAGATGACAGACACCATCTGAGGTGATCGAGGCACATGCTCGTCTAGCAGCCTCACAATATCGTGATGCAAACGCTCACCAGCCACATCACGAGGCAGTCTGTCCATGTGATCTGTGATCTCTCTGTTGGCAAAGTTGTCCAGCAGAGCCTTACAAGCTTCATAACCTCCCTCTCTTGCTGCCAGGAACAGTGGTGTTTCGTCCTATAAAAGATGAAAAAATCAGATAACCAATTTTAAACTAAGGAAGCTTGAACAATGGTCATATGGATGAACCATAAGGCCACACCAGGAGCTATAAATAAATTACACTATGGTAGTTAGTGCTTTAGCCATGGCATTATACCATGATGACGTTTTTAATTAATTAACCTACTCAGTTTATTTGGTGTTAACTAGGCCCATCAATCGCTAACAAAAAATATTCAAACAAATTAATATTAAACGTGTCAACAGTTGGTAAGTCTACATATTACACACTTGTGCTATGTGAACACTGACTGCGTTACCCACCTTGTCATCCTGTGCGTCTCTGTTTGCTCCGTGAGCCAGCAGCACATTGACAGCGTCTACATTGTTGACGGCAGCAGCCCAGTGCAATGCAGTCTTGCCACTGTTGTCTGCTGCGTTGATGTCAGCGTCTGCATTGATCAGGTCCTCTACCATTCCCTCGATGGCCAGTCTGGCAGCCAGTATCAGTGGGGTTGTACCATCGTGCATTCGAGCGTTCAAATTTGTTGCTCTGTTCCTTAATAGTATCTAGAAAAGATAGATAGTAATGTGAATTACATTATGAAATTTGAATTGTTAGGGTTATATGATAAGTTTCAAAACCATGTTGGTATGAGTATGCATCTAAGATATAGCATTGACTTTTAGATACCATGGTTTTTAATAACATTTGTTACTAGGGGGTGAGCTGGACTATTGGTGGAGTTGATGGCTTCAATTCCTAAGGTCTCAGGTTCAAATCCCACCAAACACCAATGACTTCAGGTTAGTGATAATTCCATGAGCTTTTAGACCTACCCTGACCTAATGGGATAAGTTCAGGGCTTAAGTCTAGGGTCCTAGGCAAGAAGGAAGGACATTAAAGAGTAGCATATATTACGCACCTGGAAGACTCCCATGGCGTCAGCTGCTACAGCCGCATGTAGAGGTGTTCTTCCTGTGTTGTCCTGAGAGTTAGCTTCTGCTCCGGCATCTAGCAGTCTCTTGGCTGCATCAGCCCTTGCGTACCTGCACATACATGGTCAAATGTCAACAAACATATACAAAAATTTTATTTATTTATTTGGATGATTGCTTGTATTTAATAATCCAGAAATATTAGACCCTTATACTGGGGTGTTCCCCAGAACTGGTGTTTCTTGGTTTCTCTTAATTATGTGTTATGTCTGTAGCATTTGAATTGAAGTTTTATTCATTTTCCTTTTCTAACCACTAAAAAAATTTATTGGAACGAAATAAACATTTTAAGAAAGCATTTATAGTTCCTGAGAGAGGAACCAAGGTGAACCAAAGTTGAAAAGTAGTGTAAGGTAACTTAAAAAAAAAAAAAAATTTCTAAGCACTCTGTAGATCAAAAGGGGTTGTAAACTGAACATGTTCTTTCTATAAACATGGATATGATAAGATCACCAGATTAGCAGCACTAACAAAGAATGTTAATGGTTATATTTAAACAAAGTAATATTGTCAATGAATAACACTTTTTGAGACAATCTAAATCTAATATATTTCAAAACTTCAATTGATTAACGAATGTTGTAACTTTTACCAACTTAGATTTTGATATGCATTTACCACAAAAGCCATCAAATCCCTCCCCAAAGACCAATGGAACAGCTCCAAACAATAATAATCACTGTATTTTCCAAGAGGCAGAAGACCAGCTGGAAAGCCCAGGGCCCCTTTAGTAAAAGGGAACAGTGTGTTTGCACCTAGGGCCGCAAGAGGTTTTAGGTTTGTTGGGGGTACAATGAGGAAGAGAAAATTTCCCTCCCAAGGTAGGGGAGGGATATTTACTCTTTCAACATGATTGATGAGGCCGAATACCAACTGGGATATGTGTAGATACTTCAGTGAGTAAAAAAGTAAGGATTACGAAGAGCTAAAGACATGATCAACAGTGCCGTTACCTGGCTGCCAAATGCAGTGAGGTTTCTCCAGTTTTGTCCGTTGTTGCGTTAAGTTCAGCTCCCTGAGCTACCAAGTCTGCGATCACAGCTGCTGTACTGTCATCTTCTTCTTCCTCTCCGGTGTCCAGCCCTCCTCCCTTCACTGCGGCCACCATTAGTGGAGTCATTCCACAGGGGAGTCGCACATCTACCCCTTCCTGTACACGCAACATTCACCATGTAAAACACCCAAACTGTTTTAAGGTTTCATATTTTTCAACAAACAAAATGTAATTAGTAAACAAGACCAGTGTTCCTAAATCGGTCTATAAGTTTTATAAATGGTATTTAAACTTAACATATAACTAGTACAAGTTTTTATAAAAGTTTATTCAAAGTATTTATGATTTAAATTGTTTAAAATGTTAACATCAACAACAATGAACACAATAGTTCAGTGGGAGCTAAGGCAGGAAACCAGTTTTCTGTTTTATAAACTGGGGACCTGCACTATGTTATTTTTGCTGTTAATACTGACTAATATTAGAAGTCAGGAAAACCTTGCAGGCAGACTTAAATCATAACAATGCTTTCCTGTCTTCAGTGTCTTCTAATACATGCACACATCAGTGGTCAATGGTCAAGCATTTGAGATAAAAAAAAAAATTAAATACAAATAATTCCTTGTTTATCTCCCTAGCAGATAAAAAAACAACAAAAAAAACAGAATTATTGAGTGGTGAAAATGACGTTTTCAACTGATAAGAAACGCCATCTAGGCCTGTAGCTACCAAATAATACTTTTCACACTTTTCTTTCATACTGAAGCTACTAACACATCCTAGTGGAGATATTTCCTAACCAACTTACCATGCTGGGAGGTGTGAGTATCGGAGGAGGAGCCCGAGGCTGTCCCCACATGTCCTCATAGTCAGTGATGGCCGTGTGATCGCTAGCGTAGCCGTTGTCTCTCGCTCGCTTGCTCGGTGGTAGCTCACTGTCGTCGTCTGACCAGTGTGCACCGGGGACATCGACACAAGCGATCTGCTGCTTGCTCAAGTTACGCATCTCTTGTCCATCCGGCCCACGGCGTCTGGACCTGCGCCGCTGTCCACTGAAACCACAGAACATCAACTGTAATGGATTGTTGATTGTTATACCCACAATTGATACAGAATTAGGTGCACTTCTACGCAGTTGAATAAAACAATGAGATTATTATTGCAGAAGATTGTCGATTTTGAATAGTCATAGCAAAAGAATAGGCCTACTTTTCTTTGAAAGATAAGGATAATTTTTTGCGGTTTGGATGAATCAAAACATGTGTAAAAGAGGAGTAGCCATCTCGAAAGAATGACACAATTAGGGTCTTATTTAAGAGACTGTTACTGTAAGAAACTCATGGTTTTTTTCTTGACTGATACCATATCTGACCATAGTTAGTGAGTCGGTGGCTCAGTCGGTAGCGTCGCGGACTTCGGGCCCAAGGCAGCGATGTCGTGGGTTCGGATCCTGGTCACTACCGATAAAATTTTATCAGTACAGTTCACCTTTGTACTGTACCGGCTCACTCCTTGCCTTGCTGTTAACGATCCACGCACGGGCGCTTAGTCTATGTGGACGGGCAAATGCAAGGTTAAAAGAGGCCGCCAACCTCTTTAAAAAAAAAAAAAAAAAAAAAAAAAATATATATTGGCTTAAGTTTACTTTTTATCAAAGATTTAAAACAATACAATGAAAAAAAATACAAATTAAACCATATCTTCTGTAAGACTTATAAGCCCATGTACATATTTAGTCTCAACTGACCTGTTATTCCGCAAGAAGCCCTCCGGGAACCAAGTGATGCCATTAGCTCTCTTCTTCTGCGCCTGTACAAGCACGCCCAGCAGCAGACCAACCAGCACAGTGAGGATGACCCCTGTCAGGATGTACTTGCTGCGGTTGGGACTGTCGGGCTCAATGATATCCCTGTCAGACACTCCGTGTACTTGGTAGATGGGGAACGAGGTGGAGAGAGCGTGAGTCGCCGCTGTGGCTGCTAGGAAGTCTGCCGCCTGAAGACATGATTTGGTTAAGTATGAACCATAGAGCATAACAGTCTATGGTTTTAGGACTATAGTGAGGGCAGCAGGCTAAACAGAATGGGACAATTTTTCTCTGGTAAAGGAAATAAAAACTTTAAACTCTACGCAAATATTAGCATATTTTACTGTCATTGACAGCATTTTCAACAACCAAGAAAGATCTTATTTGAAGAAAGCGATGTCTTGAAATCCAATGATGGCCAGAAAACTAGATTGAAAATGAGGTTGTATGTGTAGTTTTGGGTATAGGGTAGTTTTGTGTCTCATGTGCATGAGTGTAATCTTTTCCAGCCAGGTAAACTTGCAATCCTCACAAAAGAAAGGATGGAAATGAATTCAGTGTTGTAGTAGAAATTCCACAATTCTATTTCCTCTCAACTTTTATTAAGGCACTTTACCCCGGGTTTATCCCCACACTGAACCACCAACAAAGTTCTTGTTCTTACATTGGATTTTGTACCGCCACACCACTGATGAAATCCATCAGTGGTAAGATCCTTTAAAATCTTTACAACAAAAGAAGAAAATAACATTGTTTATACTATATAGGCTATAGGCTTAGTAATGTTTATTCCTTAAGTTGTTCACCATGCTACAAAACTAATTTTTAAAAGGAGTGTAAATTGAATAGTTCATTATTAGAAGAGAAACTACCAACCCTTATTTTGAGGGTAAAGATAATGGTTTGTGTATTTTAACTGTGAGATAAACTACACAATGCCAAAGATAATTAAAAGGAAAATAAACTCTATGAAAAAAAATTAAACAATCGAAAGGGTTACTTACCTCAGTGGCCGAAACAAAGCACTCAGGGATACCAAGGCCCTGATTTAGAGCGCAGCGACGGTTGTCAATCTCCAGGTAGATGATGACTCCTCGGGAGCCTGCGTCTCCATTAGACATCTTCCAAGGATAAACTCTCTCACGTCCTGACTCGTCCAGCTGGATACGCACTGTGGCTCTCAACTGCTGACCCAACTGTACAACAAATAAATTTAGTCTACCATAGTCATCTGTAAGGGCATCGTAACATGTCCTCCCTGAACTCGTACAGTGAACTGTGTGTTGTGATCAGTGTTCTGATTAGTGCTGCAATCCAGTGGACGACTTTGAAATTAAATTACGTTGGGGATGCTTCTGAGTTAACCGTTAGAGTTAAACCAATTAAATGAAGGAAGGAAGAATGTAGAATAGAGTGGACCATCTTGTGCAGCTTTTAGACCAACCTAGCCAGTATTATTGAAAGCTGGACAAAATTTATGCTTCAAATTATATCAGATACGGCTTGCTCTGGGTACATTCAAGCCTTCACATTAAATCTCAGAACTGAGTATAAATAAAAAATTAGGGGTGTGGGGGGAATTTTAGAGATTTGCTACGGCAGCAAATATGATGATGTTTACTTATTTCACAGTAAAACAAACAACACAAGTGACACCTCTAACTTCACTTATCTTCAACATAAACTTTATACGGATTGGAATTTAAAGTATTTTATTTAAAACAATTTATAAACAGTTTGGGGTCAACTAAAACATCTAGATCAAGGATATTTGGGAAGAACTATAAGACACTCTGCAAGAGAATTTTATATTTTCAAGACCTACAAAACAGATGTACAACTGACCTCTCGCAGGAAGGTGACTTTCTTGTTGAGGAAGCTCTGCATGTCCATAAGCAGCACCATGGCCATGGCTCCCTCGGCCAGCTCAGACGCCCCTTGGTCACAGTCCAGACCATCCCAGTTACACTCTGCGTTGTTGCAGCCGTAGTCACAGTAACCGTTAGCGTAGTGCTTCAGGCAGTAGGCGTCGTAGATAGGGCTATTATAGAACAAACATTTTAAATTAAAGCTCGTGGTTTGGATAAAAACTAAAACTTTTTTTGTGCCACTATACTTAAGATTTTTGTTCATCATTATTTGAAAACTCAATAACAAATGACATCACGGTCCATCCATGCAAATTGGAATTGAACCAATGATCTAAAGATTTTGAGATAAGCACTATAACTACTCAACTCAGTGTTAATTATTCTAATTGGGTTTATTTTGTATCAGGCCACATAATTTTAAATCATGTAACACAAGGAGGTACTAATTTGGTTTTTGAGAATTATAGGCATGAATTTCACAAATAGGAATATTACAGTGCAAAACATCACATCTTTTATGTAACACTAATTATTATTAAAAACATAAAAAAGTGTGTGATAAGTTTATTTTGAAAATAATAATTATTAAAGTCATAGGCATATAGACCTAGTCTTATACACTCACTTGCAAGGCTGTAATGTCTTCTCACAATCATGTCCGTCAAACAGACACTGAGGGTTGTTGCACACCTCGTCACACCGTCCGTTCATGAAGACCTCCCAGCAGTTGATGGGAGCTGTGCAGTTGCGCCACGGGTTGATACCGAGAGAGCAGTCGTTGCCGTCAAACTGACAAGCGAAGGTGTTGCACTCCTCGTCGCACCGACCGTTGCCGGACTTGGCTCGACAGTTGTTCAGACGGCACTTCTCCAGTTCCTTCTCCATCTCTCTCTCCTGGATGGATATCAGTGGTGGAGGCTGGACGTTGTTGCGACCGATGCCACCGCGGAAGTTAGGGTCGTAGGTGTCGCAGTTCTTGCCGGCCCACTTAGGAGGACAGTAGCATGCGTAGTCACCCACTCTGTCCTGACATGCAGCACCGTGAGCGCAAGGCTTGCTGGCACACTCGTTGAGGGCATCCAGCTCACAGTGAGTCCCAGCAGTACCTGAGAACATTGTACGGATATTGTGAGATATATTTCATTAATTATTGCTAACAAATAAGTTTATAATGAAAAATTGTTTTATTCAGAGATGTTGACTTAGTTTTTGGAGGAAAAAGCACTTTGATTAGAAACATTAAGTCTGGGTAAGCGCATTAAGGAAGAAGGGATGACTACAACTGTATGTAGCTGAAATTAAAGAGTGGCATGTTCTGGGATCTTTTATTGAGTACCGATTTCCCTCAAGTCAAAAATTTTTAAAAGTAAGCTTGCTGGATTTTATCCCTTTTTTATAAAAAAATTTAATAAGGTTTATTATAAAAAATTCTATTCTGGTTAACGGTCTTTTTCTAAAAAAAATTAAATACTTATGAATCGTTATGGCTTAACTCACCAGGTGGACATTCACAGAAGTAGCCTCCTCCGTCCAGGGACTGACACGAGCCTCCGTTCTGACAAGGGTCCGAGTCACAGTCGTAGCCGAAGAACTCACAGTTGCGACCTGAGTAGCCCTCAGGACAAGAGCACGAGTGACCGGCCTCTAGTGGGTTACATACTCCTCCGTTCTGGCATGGACTACTCTCACAGAAGTCCACCTGCACAATTAATATGATTGTGTAAAACAGAAGCTTTGGTGTTATTACTCCAGTTGAACATACTAAAAGTTCAGATTCAAATGAGCAACAGAATGAATGAAATCATAAAATAGTTTTAAAACATTTAATTGGAACATTTAAACAAGTTTAAAGTTAGTTAAAACTCATGGACAGAGATAATTTTGTTAAGAGATGTTAAGAGATGTTTTGTTAAGCTGAGCAAAAGATTATCCATATATATAGCACAACAAAAGATTATGACAGCATTAGTGTTAATCATTAGTTAAAAAAAAGTTTAAAATTATTGTTGACACCATTTGTTATAAATTAAGTGTTGTAAATGTTGATGCAAATTCCGGTATAAGAGTGGCTATACACAATATTGCTATTAAAAAGCGAGATGAAAATATTTTATTTTAAGAACATAATAAAGAAAATGTTTACCACAAAATATCGATCGATTATCTGTTATATTTTTGGAAACAGTCCATATCCTGATTTTGTTTGTATCCACCATCAACCCTATTTAACACACAATAACCTAGTGATAATTCAAAGATTGAACTGAACCCCTCAGGAGAAAACCAGCAACTTCTTTTAAGACAAGCACCCATATTTTACCCAACCATTAACCATTGAGCCTACCTTGACTTCGCAGTGACGCCCCATGTAGCCGGGCCGACAGTTGCAGTGGTAGTTGTTGATGAGTTGTACACAGTCCAGAGTGCCAGGGCCAGCACAAGGGTTGCTGAGGCACTCGTTGATGTCTCCCTCACACCGAGGTCCTACAAACCCTGCTGGACAGTGGCACTCGAAGCCTCCCACGCGATCCATACACGTGCCGTTGTTGTGGCATGCGCCCGGCACACAGTCGTCTACGTTAATCTCACAGATGATGCCAAGAGTACCTGCACACGAAAAGTGTAAAAATGGTGCTCACTGGTGGTAGACAATAATAATTTTACAGGATGTTTTTAATACTTAACTAACAGTGCAGAATATGTGTTACCGGCAGCGTAGCAAAATGTGTTTTACACAAAATGACAAAAAAGTGCTTATCTCATTCTAAAATTCCACATCAATTAGAGATTTTTATAATGCAATCATACAATCCTTAAAAGCTTTTTCCAAGATATTACATAATTATTTAAAAAAAGAAAACTTAAAGATTTAGTGAATTTTTTTCAATTTTTCTCTCAAAATCATCAATCCTAGACAACACGATTCAATAAAAACTTTAGTTTATTTTATATATGTTTCTGATATGAAAACACACCAATCACACTTTCATAATTTATTGTCAAAATAAGTGTAAATGATAGTTGAATTGGTGACATTTTACGCACATAAATAACAAAAGCAATTTAAATTAGGCTATACTGCTCATGTTGATGGAGACAATGAAATGAAATGTTTATTTGTCACACAGAATTTACATAATTGTGATACATCACCAGTAAACATATGACACGTCAGTTTTTCACAACAAAATACATTATATTATATATTTAATTTCATTGTAGTTAGTAATATATTAAAAAATTTAAAAAACAAAAAGAGTGACGTTAGTTACAAAAAAATTCATTAACTGAATAAGGACAAAGTAGTTCCAAATGTTCCCTAAGTAGTTTTTGTTTTGTTTTTTTATCATCCATCTTTTCTGTCGATTTGGTTTGGTTAGGGAGGTGGTTAAATAGCTTCCTACCCATATACAATGTTGTAAAAGTTATAACACTGACCCGGTGGACAAGAGCAGCTGAAGTTGCTGACCAGGTCATGACAAGTGCCTCCGTTCTGACAAGGGTTGGGCTGACAGTCGTCCACGTTGAGTTCACAGTTCTGTCCCTGGAAGCCCTTGTCACAGTGGCAGGTGTACGAGCCGACCAGATCCACACAGGTCGCTCCGTGTTGACAAGGCTGACTGTCACATTCGTTGATCTCCACACTACAGTAGCTGCCTGTGTAGCCGTCCATGCAGTGACAGCGGTGGCTGTTGCCGATATCCTCACACGTGCCGTTGTTGCAGAGCACTTCTCGGGAAACACCTGACAGAGAAACAGATGTTGTTGAAGAAACGGTTCAAAATTAACATCAACAAATGCTCTAGAGCCTGTGTATAAATTGGTTGGACTTACAAGTTTACTTAAACGGGCAAAAGCTGATCCTGGTAATTAAAACATAAGAACCAAAGTTAAAAAATAATTCTTTATATTTTTCAAGTCACCAACCAGGTGACCGTGCCTCGACAAATATATAATGACAACCTTAAGATGCCATCCTAATATCACTGGGATATTTAGTTTGCTATTGGTGATTTTAAAGAATTAACGAGATAAATAATTTTCTTAGGTAATAAATAATAGGTCTAGAATCGATTCTCAAGATCAAAACAATAAACTTCAGATTTGAAGGCATTCACTTCAAACTACTCGCCTAACCAGACAATGTTCCAGTCAAAATTAAAGTGACATCAAGATAAATACGGATGGAACACACATTAAATTCACTTCTCACAAAGATCATGAAGATTACCTTTTCTGATAGAAGCATCATTACAAGAGACCATCTCCACGTCGCACACTTTGCCAGTCCAGCCGGCCGCACACAGACACTGGTAGGAGTTGTCCTTCTGGCGACATTGAGCTCCGTTCTCACAAGGATCTGTGGCGCACCAGTCCACGTAGCTCTCACAATGTTTGCCTGTGTATCCGTACGGACAGTGACAACTGTAGTACTTGATGTGGTCCATACATGTGGCACCGTTGGCACAAGGCGCACTGTCACACTCGTTGATACGCGACTGACAGTTGGTGCCGGTGTATCTGTGAATGGAAGGTAGCAAATCTATCATTACCAAGATCAGGATGAAATAATTCAAATACTTCTTATCCGTGGTTAAAACTAGTGGTGAAAATTGCAAATGCATAATTATATAGTTCCTTTGTCACTTTGTATAAAACACATGATTCAAACACACAAAATATTGAGTTTCAAGAACTATCCACAAATACATACCCTGGCTGGCAGATGCAGGTGTAGCTGTTGATTCCGTCGACACAAGAGCCACCGTTCATACAGCTGGAGTCAGTACAGTCCTCGTCGTTGGTCTGACAGTTAATCCCTGAGAAGCCCAGTGGACATGTGCAAGTGTACGAGTCCACGTATTGAGTACAGGTAGCTCCGTTGCGGCAAGGCCCTGACTGACACTCGTCTATGTCCACCTCGCAATGTTTGCCGGTGAAGCCGTCCACACAGAGACAACTGTAGTCTCCCACTGCGTCTAGGCAGGTACCTCCGTTCTGACAGGGGACTGTGGAACACATCAGTGGGTAAGTAATAGGGATGGACGGGTCCCGAAATTTCGGGAATTTTTCGGGAAAAAAATATTCCCGATTATCGGGATGGGATTACATTTGATTCGGGAATTTTTCGGGACGGGATTTAGTCCGATCGCCGGCGATTTTGCCGCTTCGCGAGTGCCGATGACGCCGCTATTGCGAGCGATAGGTCCGCGAACGAAGGAGACGAAGTCGTTTCGACGATTGCGCCATGACCGCGGAGTCATAACGACGATTGCGCCGTGACCGCGGAGTCATAACGACGATCGTGCCGTGACCACGGAGTCATACCGACGATCGCGCCGTGACCGGGGAGTCATACCGACGATTGCGCCGTGACCGCGGAGTCATAACGACGATCGTGCCGTGACCACGGAGTCATACCGACGATCGCGCCGTGACCGGGGAGTCATACCGACGATCGCGCCGTGACCGCGAGTCATACCGACGATCACCCCGTGACCGCGGAGTCATACCGACGATCGCGCCGTGACCGTGAGTCATACCGACGATCGCGCCGTGACCGCGAGTCATACCGACGATCACGCATTGACCGCGGAGTCATACCGACGATCGCGCCGTGACCGCGAGTCATACCGACGATCACCCCGTGACCGCTGAGTCATACCGACGATCACGCAGTGACCGCGGAGTCATACCGACGATCGCGCCGTGACCGGGGAGTCATAACGACGATCGCGCCGTGAACGCGAGTCATACCGAAGATCACCCCGTGACCGCGGAGTCATACCGACGATCGCGCCGTGACCGTGAGTCATACCGACGATCACCCCGTGACCGCGGAGTCATACCGACGATCACGCAGTGACCGCGAAGTCATACCGACGATCACGCAGTGATCGCAGGGTCATACCGACGATCGCGCCGTGAACGCGAGTCATACCGAAGATCACCCCGTGACCGCGGAGTCATACCGACGATCACCCCGTGACCGCGGAGTCATACCGACGATCACGCAGTGACCGCGAAGTCATACCGACGATCACGCAGTGATCGCAGGGTCATAACGACGATCGCGCCGTGAACGCGAGTCATACCGAAGATCACCCCGTGACCGCGGAGTCATACCGACGATCGCGCCGTGACCGTGAGTCATACCGACGATCACCCCGTGACCGCGGAGTCATACCGACGATCACGCAGTGACCGCGAAGTCATACCGACGATCACGCAGTGATCGCAGGGTCATACCGACGATCGCGCCGTGACCGGAGAGTCATACCGACGATCGCGCCGTGAACGCGAGTCATACCGAAGATCACCCCGTGATCGCGGAGTCATACCAACGATCGAGCCGTGACCGTGAGTCATACCGACGATCACCCCGTGACCGTGAGTCATACCGACGATCACCCCGTGACCGCGGAGTCATACCGACGATCACGCAGTGACCGCTAAGTCATACCGACGATCACGCAGTGATCGCAGGGTCATACCGACGATCGCGCCGTGACCGGGGAGTCATACCGACGATCGCGCCGTGAACGCGAGTCATACCGAAGATCACCCCGTGACCGCGGAGTCATACCAACGATCGAGCCGTGACCGCGAGTCATACCGACGATCACCCCGTGACCGCGGAGTCATACCGACGATCACGCAGTGACCGCGAAGTCATACCGACGATCACGCAGTGATCGCAGGGTCATACCGACGATCGCGCCGTGACCGGAGAGTCATACCGACGATCGCGCCGTGAACGCGAGTCATACCGAAGATCACCCCGTGATCGCGGAGTCATACCAACGATCGAGCCGTGACCGTGAGTCATACCGACGATCACCCCGTGACCGTGAGTCATACCGACGATCACCCCGTGACCGCGGAGTCATACCGACGATCACGCAGTGACCGCTAAGTCATACCGACGATCACGCAGTGATCGCAGGGTCATACCGTCGATCGCGCCGTGACCGGGGAGTCATACCGACGATCGCGCCGTGAACGCGAGTCATACCGAAGATCACCCCGTGACCGCGGAGTCATACCAACGATCGAGCCGTGACCGTGAGTCATACCGACGATCACCCCGTGACCGCGGAGTCATACCGACGATCGCGCCGTGACCGTGAGTCATACCGACGATCGCGCCGTGACCGGGGAGTCATACCGACGATCGCGCCGTGACCGCGAGTCATACCGACGATCACCCCGTGACCGCTGAGTCATACCGACGATCACGCAGTGACCGCGGAGTCATACCGACGATCACGCAGTGACCGCGGAGTCATACCGACGATCACGCAGTGACCGCGGAGTCATACCGACGATCGCGCCGTGACCGGGGAGTCATACCGACGATCACCCCGTGACCGCGGAGGCATACTGACAATCACGCCGTGATCGCGGAGTCATACCGACGAAAGGCGCCGTGACCGCGAGTCATACCGACGATCACCCTGTGACCGCAGAGTCATACCGACGATCACCCCGTGACCGCGGAGTCATACCAACGATCACGACTTGACCGCGGAGTCATACCGACGATCACCCCGTTACCGCCGTCATTTTGACGATCGCACCGTGACCGCGAGTCACAAGTTTCTATAGGTACCTGAAAAATTGTTACCAATTTTTTGGTTTTTATAGATCAGTGCCACAAACGGTAAAGATTGATTTTGTATCCTTTTTTTGGTAACTGCAATACTCAAGACTTTCTTTTTATGCACAGAAAAAAATCCCGTCCCGTCTCGTCCCGAAAATCGGGAAGGAAATAAAAATCCCGTCCCGTCCCGTCCCGAAGTAAAAATTCAATCCCGTCCATCCCTAGTAAGTAACCAGGAAAAAAATTAGTTTGAATTATTACACAGTGACTAATCTCACTTGATTTGATTTTACACAAATCCTTGTATTTTCTTTTACTTTAATGTGGGCAAATGTCCTAGTGTTAGTCAAATATTCACACTGAAAGCATTAATGTAGCCAACTGTAGGATAAAACAACACCTGTAGGTAAAGACCATAATTAGCTACTCATACAGTAAACTCTTAATATGTTTGGAGCACTCACATGAAGCGCAGTCGTCAGTGTTGATGAGACAGTCTCTTCCCTCATATCCTCTAGCACAGGCACACTGGTACGAGCCGTTGGTGTTCTGACAGGTGGCTCCGTTGCGACAAGGTGAAGACACCTGACACTCGTCCACGTCCTCATGGCACAGGCGGCCTGTGTAGCCCAGACTGCAGGCGCATGAGAAGTCTAGGAAGTTGGAAGAGGGTGAGCAGCGAGCGTTGTGTTGACACCTGCGGTGGAACACAGTTAAGTAAGGTATATGGTAACAAGATTGTTTCTATCCTATAATAGTCCCTTCAAATAACATTAACTCCCCATCACTATCACTAAGTTTTCACGCTTTTGGGTCTTACTTTATAGATTGTGGGTCTGGTATTAGAAGTTTGTGTTTGCCTACCCCTTAACAGTTTTTTTCTTTCAATATTTATTATTTCTTGTTTTAACTACTTCATAGTTCTCTGAGGACAAGACGTTCCCAAAATTACTTGTTTACATACTAATAATTTTATAGACACTACAGGAAGATTAAATTTTGACTTGATAACTTCTGTTATTTGTTATATACAATCATTTTCACCGTTTCCCGTTTACTTTAAATTATAACCCTTTCATCATAAAACTATAAAAATATAAACAAAAATATGATATGTGGTGCTAATTTGGAATGATTATTTTAATGTTTTTCCAATACAAAAACTTGTTTTCAAGACTAATCTGTGCATTAGAAAACATAAAATTCTACTTATTTCTTGTAACTTCACCTGTTGGGAGTGCAAGGGTCCAGTTTCTCTTGACAGTTGTGGCCAGTGTAAGGCAAGTCACACACACACTTGTACGCGTTGACCAGGTCTATACAAGCTCCTCCGTTGCGGCAAGGATTGCCAGCGCAGTCGTCTATGTTGGTCTCACAGTTAGTACCCATGTAGCCAGGCAGGCACTGACACATGTAGCCATTGAGCCGGTCAATACACTGACCTCCGTGTTGACAAGGGTTGCTGCCACACTCGTCTATGTCAAACTCGCACCGTTTGCCTGAAATTATAATGTTTTTAATTAATAGGCATTTGGATGATATATAAATGCGATTGAACTAACTGATATTTATTATAATATTAGTATAAGTACAAAATGTTGCTCCTTATATTCTTCAAGGTATTATTTATGCCATAAGGGTTAAGATGCTTGATTTCCCATATTTATATACTCCGCCATGTTTAATAGAGTGGTTCAATTGATTGCCCCTCCTGTTTCAGTAGCCTTTCCTAATGCTTCTGACAGAAGAAAGCTATTAAATTTAAAGCTATTATAAGAAAGCTATGATTTTTCAAAAACAAAATCACTAAATTCCCTAATTTAATTCCACAAACAAAACTTTTTTCAATCGTATTACCAAATGTTACTTTAGTTTTAACCAGTTAAAAAATATAACAAGTACAGTAAGCCTATTCTTAACCACAGACTATTCTTCTATTCTTACCTCCATAGCCAGGACGACAGTGGCAGATGAACTGGTTCAGGCCGTCCTCGCAAGTCGCTCCGTTGAGACAAGGATCGCTCGCACACTCGTCCACATCACTGAGACAGCGAGCATCGTAGTAGCCGCGCGGACACTCACAGCGGAAGCCATTCACCAGGTCCACACACAGGCCTCCGTTTGCACAAGGGTTTGATGCACACTCGTTGATGTTGGTCTCACAATGCAGTCCCGTGAAACCAGCATGGCACTCACAAGAGTATCTGGAGACAAAATTACAAATTACGAAGGAACTAGACAATAAGTTAAATAAAAAGACATAAAGAATATAAGTTAAAGTTGAAGTGTCCAAAATACCAAATACTTGAGACTGCTAAATGAGAATTGTTGTGCCAACCTAGTTTTTATAAGGATAAGGATTCATGAGGATCCTATTGTTCTACATTCTAGAGAAACCTGACAAAAATATCAGTGATCAAATAAACCTCTTATTTAGTCACATTTTCTCCCAAACACTAAACCAGTATAAGCGTGTACAATTTTTCAATTTCTTTAAATATTGAGCTTATTAGTTATGTAGAAAATTGAGGGATACATTTCTTTATTATCTACTCTTACGACAAAACTAACAATAAAACAAAATAACATCGTTGAATGAACAAAGTGTTTTTACTTATTGCATCCTGGACTTAAATTTCTGAGATGTTTAGTAAACTCTCCCTTTAAAAAATCCTTTATCAACCACATTTCTCCCTAAACTCCATTTAAAATTACAAAATATTTTTCTCCCTAAATTCTATTTAATTACAAATTATATATCTTTATAAATATCCACATATTTTCAACATTTGTTTCAAACGTGACATTATGTAACAAACCTGTTGATTCCGTCTATGCACTTGGCTCCGTTGCGGCAAGGGTTGCTGTAACACTCGTTGACGTTGATCTCACAGTTAGGCCCGGAGGTGCCTGGGCGACAGCGGCACTGGTAGCCATTGATGAGGTCCTCGCAATGTCCGCCGTACTGGCACGGGTTGCTGGCACACTCGTCCATCTGTGACTGGCACAGGTAGCCTGTGTAGCCAGGGTGGCACTGGCAAGTGAAGGAGTTCTCTCCGTCAATACAGTCTCCATGATGGCACGGCGAGGACTGGCAGTCGTTGATGTTGGTCTCACAACTCAATCCTGTGTAATAATTCAAGAGATGAAAACACTGAAGAAGACAAAGGTAAATCATTGACCAACACACTGTTGGTTAAATTTAACATTTTAGAGGTGTGCTTGTTTTAATTACATGAAACACATCTGCATTGCTGCCATTATATTAGCATTTTGACAGGAGAAACAGTTAGTGAGGACACTTCGAGAGGAACTCAAAATCAGGTTCGTTGTCAGGATTTTTGTTATGATGGCAGACATATCTAAATGGTAAAGAGTCAGCTACTGAACAAGAAAAACCAAAACAAAGCTCTTGTGCTCTATTTCAAATATTTAATCTAATATTTTCATAAAAAGGAACCACTTTTGTTCCACTAATATGACTAGGATTATATGGCTCACGTGGTTCCATATTGATAAGAATATGTACCTAATAAGTATTATTAACCTTACTTTTAGACAGAATGATAAAAAAACAATAAGATTATCGAAGGACCAAAAAATCAAAATCCATAACAAACCATTAACTTGACTATCCCTGACTTATAAAGTCAGTAGTGAAACGTATTGTGAATAACCCCACAAAGAATCTGTTGACGCAAGGAAATTAGCTTACATCAGTCATAACATGACAAAATAAAGGAGGTTCTTAAAATAAATAAACATGAATATCCTTACCAGTAAATCCTGGGGGACATTCACAAGTGTATCCAGCGATGGAGTCTCGACAGATACCCCCGTTGCGGCAAGGGCTGCTGACACAGTCATCTATGTTGGTCTGACACCTGGCGCCAGTGAAGCCAATGGGACAGGTACACTTGAAGGTGTTGATCAGGTCGTTGCAGATACCTCCGTTGAGACAAGGGTTGATCTGGCACTCGTCGATGTCAATCTCACACTGAGTCCCAGTGAAACCTGCAACAAACATCAATGTAACTATAATGTTGCTCAAAGGGATCTCATTGCAAGAAAGTCCTTTCAATCTACCTCATGAACAAAAAGTCCTGCAAACTGCCAAGGCATTTCACATAAATTCAACAATGTTATTTATGATCCCGCAAGTGATCCTGATGAAGAAAACGACTCGATAACTTTAACAACTATTTTCATTATTATCTTTACCATTAAAAGTTGGCACTACTTGTTGGCGTTGAGACATGTTAGCCACACATACCTTATGACCAAAGGGTTCATAACACATGCCGTTGTAATATGGTCAGTGAGTACCATATAACTATGAATTTCAATAAATAAAGTTAGCTGTAGACAAGCCTTTTTATGCTTTTGCAACTTTTTGGACAATATAATTTGTAAAACGAAATATTCATACTTTAATAAATAAATAAAATAAAAGTAATGTTTTGATCAAAAAGTTAAATTAATGTAGGGTGTCTCAAAGATATAGCAGCCACTATAGTACCGGCCAGACATGATAAAAAAGTACTATATTCCGTTTCAGTTTTCATTTTTGGCATTTGCCTGAAAATCCAGCATTTTCAACCCCTTCCAGTGTACATTACGTCCAAATAGTGATACTGTATCAATATGAGCAGATTGCAGAAAAAACAAGAAAAACCTTGCAGATTATGCAAGGTTATCTTACAGGGTAATTTACAGAACAGTGCCCTCTACACATACCAAACCTACAATCTCCTCACGGTATGACACGAAATGTAGGCCCATCAACGAGCCCAGTGGGACACCAATTTGATTGGTACAAGAAGTGTGGCGGGTGATCCATGACTGATAGTATCGATGATGGTTCCGGTCAACAGTAGGGTATAACTGTACCTGTGAGAACCAACCCATACATCACCACCGCGACCGATCAGCGATCAGCGATCCCGACAAATATGCGACCCGCTGTCTGCAACTGTGATCCGTTGGAAACAGTGCAACGCAATCGCTGTCTGTAACTGTGATCCGTAGGGAACAAACAGGGAACAGTGCAACACTGTCTTTCCGGCGACCCTCGGCCGAAGCGATGTCTATTGATTGCTAGCGTGGTTCATAGTAAGTTCCTTAGGCTTGAGATTAAGCGAACAACTAAAATCATTTACTTCGTTATCTGTACGGCCAATCAATAATCAACGATCCCGAAAAATATTAAACCCACTGCCTGCAACCGTGATCCATTGGGAAACAAATACGGAGCAGTTTGCTTGATTTGATACAAGATTAAGTTGATTGGATTAAGTCGGCCGAATCGATAACTTGATTGCTAGCGCGGGCCAAAGGACAGTAGAAACGTCCCTTTAGAGAGAGTCCTTGGAGCCAAGCTATAAACTCATAAAACAATTACAAAACCACAAAGAAACGGTCTTATCTCATAGCACCATAGATAATTAAATTACAATCACTTTGGTATTTGAATGTATATATTTTGTGGTAAATTATTCTTCAGCGGCTGTTTGAAATTAACATTGTTCTTATGGCGGGCAAATCCAAAATATCCGTTAGCCTCCACGTACGCTTAAATCTTAAGTTTTACAGACCAACTCTAATCTGTTACTACGAAGTGACCAACCCACTGATCAGCGATCTCGATTAAAATACGACCCGACTCACAAGTATCCAACCAGAGGAGCAAACACAAAACATTATACATACAACTACTGTACTTACAAAATACCCCCGCCGCAGCAAACCTGCCGTCTAAGCGAATTTCCATTTGGCCGAATTGATTTTCAATTGATCTATTTAAATAACGTTAAATTTAACGATTACCTAGGTTTGCTGCTACAAGGAAACTAATAAAGTAGTGTGTTTTTAGTAAAATATTGATAGCTTACTATAAAATAAACACATTTGCCAAGTTTGATCAAAATATATCCATAAACAAGCAAACTACAACATTTTACAATATTCTCCCTAAGAATAACATGGGAATTTTAAATTTACCATTTTTTTAGTTTTCTCCATAACCAATAATCGTACAAAAACACTTTGATATACTGAATTGTTTGTTTTTTTAAGCTCTTTAAGAAGGTTTGGAGAAAAATTGGGAAATTTTGTGTTTTGAGGGTAAGAAGTGAGAAAAACCAATTTTTACCCCATAAAACCCCCCATAAAACCCTGTTCCCATGGTCCGATCATGCTGGATCGCGAAATCATTCAAGTTTATCCCGCCTTACACCTACAAACCAAATTTCATCAAAAACGGATAAAAATTACTCAAGTTATCGTGTTCACGGACACATATATATATATATATAAATCTATATATATATATATACCTATATATATATATACATATATAAAAATTTGAACGAATGGTGTTTTTGGCCTCTGGGGACATTAAAATGAAAAAGTAAATCGGTCCCGGGCCTAAGTCTTACCATGAGACCTACGGTAATAGCTACTTCCCTATAGGGAAATTCGCTAAAACGTAAACCACTAAAACATCATCTAGCCTATCTACGGCTATCTGCTCACAGCAAGAAATATTTAACCACCTTCCAAAACAGAAAATGTCACTTGTTGAGTTTTTTATTTAAAAGAACAAGTGGTAATTTAACAAAGTCGCAAAAAGTTGAAAGCCGGGACCAAAGTAGAAAGCCTGTGAAGTGAGCCAGCGCGCCGCGGCACGGTCGCCCCTACATAGCGACGGTTGGATAGCCATCTCTGCTCTTCTAATTGATTATTTTCGTGGCACACAACTGTACAGATAACCGGCTAAATAATTCCCCTTTAATTGGCATCGGTTTGTGTCAATTAGCTAAACATCTCCGCCGATAGGCCTACGTTGCCGCGATGGTTGTATGGATAACGGGACACGACTTCGCTACCTCGTCCTTGATATGGCCGATTAGACTAACTGTAATGGTAGCGATAGGAAATACATTACAAAAGTATTAGTTTTGTTAAAACTTTGGGTGCAAAAAATAATCCGGGCTACTAGTGGATGTACATAGATCTTTTTGTTGGATAACATCATAATAATTGATACCCGGTAGCCCGACGACAAATGGAATCTGTGTCTAAAAACTAACTCTTTAACAAACGAACTTCATATTTGAATGCGAGCACTATAAACACGCGGCTTATCACTAAATCCTCTTAAGATACTTATGTTCTATAAAGAGCACAACTCATAGTAAAGCTTGACAACAGCAATCAAACAAAAGCCCGAGTGTGTAACCTTTGTAAGTTACAGAAAACGTTTAACCATCAGGACAATCCATACATTAAACATACGACGTCAATGGGAAACAAAGGAGCGAAAGTAGAATAGCCTCGTGTGAAACAAACCACAATAAACAAAGCCTTAAGAGTATAAATGGCACAAAACACGGCGAGTAAAGAAACTAAAGCAATTAATTAGGTCGATAAAACGAATGATTTGTCGCTCGGTCGTCTCTGCGCAGGCGTAACGAGATCACTGGCGGAAACGACCGATTACATCCGAACACGGCCGAGCGACCACCTGGCGTACTGGCGGCCGCGGTGCTATTCTCATTCTACTCTACTCTCAACTAATTACTAAACACCACTCTAAATGCCAACGAGCACTTTCCACCCGTTGTGCTTCCATGTTTGGAACTATCACGTGCAACTAGACAGAGAGGGCAATTAAAACTGGCGATAACCTTTTATTATTAAATACCTTTAACCTCAAATAGTCATAGGTTATAGGTAAACCCGCTTAGTTATTTGAAAAACCAATTACAACGATAACATGCATGTAATTGCAAAGGAAAAAGATTGCCACCCGATAACTTACGCTAATTGAATTGGAATAAATTACACGGAATAATATGCAATATAACGACTCGACTGAAGTGTGGACCAAACAATTATGTAACACGCAGTGTTTGTTGTAAGGATTTTACATTCTTCACACAATTTAGAAGTAAAGCCGAGTTGAGTTTCATAAAATTGCAACTGATTTTCAAACAGCACAAGAGGTTAGCATATCAATAATTTTTTACTTCTCTCACCTAACGTTTTACTTTCGAACAATTAGTATTCAATTGTATTACTAACAGTTCGATAATTTGCCTAACTCTCAGCAAAAGTTAAAACGTACTATACTTGCTATAACAGCCCTAGAACAAGGTCTACAATAATATCAACTATCACCTCATTACTATTCATTTGATTGCGTCACACAAATCCACTGCTTTTCCACAGTAACACAATCCAACACGGAAGTGACTGCAATGCAATATATCCCGGTATCGCACGGTTGGAAGATGAAAGTAAACCACATACATCTAGTAGATATACTCTTGAGAGCAAAAACTGGTTCGAGTGTACAGAGATGGTAGAAAGCTGTTGATATCTAAACTAACTCGCTGACCCCGTTTGTACACGGTTTTATACATTTTTAATCAGGACACCTCTTGAATAGTTTTACCGGCGAACACGCAACGGCAACCGTTTAATATTTAAAAGCAATTCGAAATTTGCACAAAGGTCAGCGACCTGGAGCGATTGGATATGGCGTCATTTTCTGATATCAGCTGAACATACGATGACGTCATCGAAGCGTCATCTTGCGTCCTGGTGTTGATCAATCCAAAACTCTCGAATTGTTGTAGATGTGCAAAAATTAAACACATCTCGTTTATAAAACCAAAAGAAAATACTCATAACCGGTAGTACACTTAGATTCTTCACTTGGGCAAAACGTCAAGATAGATTAACTTTTTTGGGATGAAAATAATTAAATGGCCGATTACCCACAATCAATTTGACATATTATATACTCTATTCAAAAATTTAGGCAGTTTTAGGAGGAAAATCTATCCCCTAGACTTGATCGTACCTTTAAGACTAGCTCAACACCTGAAGTTTGTCAAAACGTCAATCAGCTACAACATTATAAATTAAGCAAACAAAAAAAAAAAAAATTGTGGTGAATGAACTTCCCCCAAAACCACCTTGTGTAAACGGAGTATAATATAGCAGACAATATTGCACAAGCTAGGAGTTTAGTGGACCTATCTACAATTCTACAGACATACCAAGAAGTCTGAAACCCAAGACATTACCTCTGTCACACAATTCACACCATCCACATGTGAAAAGTTTTACTCCGCTGTTCTTGGTAGCGGCTGTTTAGTGTTGAGAGTGCAGGTTTACCACCGTCTTTGGCTACAATAAAACAGGATTGCCGCCATCAAGTGAGCCGCGGCGGGAATACTCGCGCAAATATTTGACAATCCCTGTCTTGAGATCCCGGAAACTGAGATGACGTTGTTGTGCTGTTTTTGTTGATAAAACTTTGAAATGTTGAGGAAACTTCTTGTAGTTCAAGTACACTCATATCTTCTTTAGTATACCTAGATATAATCTCTAAAACATTATCATCCTTTGCTGTGTTTGTGGCTGTACTTCCGAACTATTTTTAGTTGACCTTGTCGGTTTAACAAGTTAACAATGTAATTCTTGGGACAGTAGTTTCACGAATCGTACGGATGCTGTATCTATCAAATAGTTTAATTGATTGTTGTTTGACCGAATTAAACGCATAAAAGTGCAATAATTTGATGCATCTAATGTGTAGGCTATGCATCTTACAGTGTACTAGAGATTACGGAAACCCAATGACCACCGACACATATTATTCCAGAACAAGAATGAGTAAACAAAGGTACGCAACGCGAGGAAAAACTAGAAAAATAGGATCCCGAATCCCGTAACAAACTGGAAATATCTTGAATTCCGATACGAGTATGCGACCGTAGGGGATGTTCTCTTCCAGGATAATGAGTAATCAAAAGTATGAAGTTGCGCAATAAAAACTTTACACCGATGAGGACAAAAACGTATACATGATAACAAATCCCATAAGAATATGGAAATATGTGGAATGCCGAGAAGTGTATGCGATGGCAGGAGTGAGGGGTCGATTAATGCGATGAGACGCTGTATCTGGACACGCATATCTCGGAATGTCCGGGCTTTATTACATTTGTCCTCGAGCCTTCACAAATCTGCCGCGTATCTGATGTCATCGTTCAAGGCGTTATAGCCTTCCCTCCCCACAACCACACGAGGCGAGCGTGTTATAAATGATCAACGTACGAGGGTTTAATAATTTAGTATTTATCTAGAGCTTTGAGTCAAGAGGGTTCGACAAAAAGGGATTCTTAGAGCAATAACCCTGACTTTCAAGCCTATACGGAAAAGAAAGTCTAGTTCATGTTTTGTCCACCATGACTTACAATAACTACAATAACTACTAAGCAATCCAATGAAAATAGGTTCGTCTAAAACACAATACAAACATCATAATTGGAGATCACAAGAGAATACAGTGGTACGAAAAGTTCTCAAATGTGCACATGACGTTGCAATTTTGCAAAAAGAACACATCTGCTACAACTGAATCTGTCTGCGGTATTTCGCGTCAAACCCCGTTAACGCCTTTACTGCTGTTGCGGTTTCCGCTGTCCACACTCTATTGCTTTTCAGTGCAACAGCAACTGCGGTTTCTTAACCTGTAAGTGTAAATGAAAGCAATTTCCATTTCACGACAAAGGCTTGTGACACTCGAAAATTACAACTCAAACAACGATTCAACGATAAAAGGGAAGACGAATCGCGAGAAGAAGAGTGATCCAGATGCGATAGGGACAACAATTAGTGCAGAAGTAGGTCCGCTTCCCACGAGGTGGCGCGGCAAAAACATGACCCGGCCGAGGACGGACTTGAAGCTGTAGTGAACTGGACAAGACACTATCTGGCTCTCGTCACATCCCATCATCACGACGACAACGTGTCCTGCGTACAATGTCCTTAGTCCTGCATCCTTATTGTGTGCTGTGGTCATTGAAGGAGAACTAGTAATGCTGCAATGAGTGACAAATCCGGTACTCATCGCAATAGGTTGTTCTTTGTGTCAGGCTGGGCTGTAAGTTCTCGTTTTGATCCATCATGACCCGATTATAAAATTAGAAGGTGCACAATAGTATGAATCCGGTAATCATGTTAGTTTTGACGTTGTAATTTCTGGGATTTGTATTTTCATTCGGTTCACACAATACCTTAAGTACACAAGAAACCGGCAATCAAATTCGAATCTGTTACATCCTTATCATGGGATCTTCTTCCCAATCCTCCTTCTAGACATTAAGACAGAATAAGAATCTTTGTTTGAAATATAGAGTTACTTTTGTGTTTTACTGGATTCAGGAGTTAAAGAAATCCAGAAGATATGCAAAATGCGAAAAATAATCCTTCTTATATTATCTGAAAATCAAAAGAAGGCTATTAAAAAAAAACTAATTACGGCTGAAAGTGGACTTACCAGGCATGCAGACACATCTGAATGTCCCAGGATCGTCCAGACAGGAGCCGTCGTTCTGACAAGGATGACTCTCGCACTCGTTGACGTTGGTCTCGCAGCGAGGTCCTGTGAACCCCTGAGTGCAGTTGCAGGCGAAGGATCCTGGAGTGTTGACGCAGATGCCGTCGTGCTCGCAAGGCGAACCTGCAACACACGTGAAGAACGGGATAAAGTATACGTTGTGAAATAAGAACACCTAGCATCGTAGAAAGTGGCCGCTGAATATTTCAGGAACCCTTCAATGCTTTCAAAGGTTCGCTTCAGACGCTTTTGACTGAAAAGGTAAAATAGGACCAACTTCTGGCTCTTGTTTGATTTTCCTTTGTTAAACCACCAAATTAATAACTGGAAAAGAATTTTTTCTTGTTCCTGGTTCATGGTTCAATCATAACAATTAACTTTCATCGGAATTAAAATGTTGTAACGTTACGATCAATTCTTTGTTTGAAGTTCGTTGTTGGTGACGGCGAGTTAATGTTGTTCAAAGGTTTATTGCGGACATTTTCCATTACGATGGTAAAAAACAATACAACACTCGTTGGTCTCATTGGTGGAGTCATTGCGAACTGTGCTATTAGTGTTCCATTGTGTGAGCTTTTTACACTACACCTTTGATAGATTATAGTGTTATGTGATTGGTTATTATTTGCATGTTGTATCATAACTTGACTGCTATACAATGCATATTTTTTGACTGCTACTCTCTGTAGTGTATTCCAACTTAGGTTGAGCGTTTGTGTAGTTGTAATGTGTTAGTTAAGTTTTTTCACCTGAGGACAGGATCAGATTCCAGGTCCCGAAACGTTGTGTATTGTTTTTACCATCGTGATGGAAAATGTCCGCAATAAACCTTTGAACAACGTTACGATCAAATCCATTTTCAAATGTCATAAGGAATTGCTGTAGATGCAAAGAATTATTTTCAAACCTCTCTTGGTTAACTTAGCTACAGATAAAAGCGTACCAATAATCTAAACAACATAGGACTAGATACAAAAGTGCCCCCTTTGAAATCGGTCTTTTAGTTTCTGACGCCTTCTTAGAATGTGAACAGCAAATGAAGATACAAGATTTACCGGTACCGAACCTGTATTGTTTCAAACGTCTACCTCTGGTAGAAGTTGGAGGCGCTACTGTACCCGAGGTGATACCGAGATTCGGGCATGACGGGAGCAGTGACTCCGGTTAATTGGCGCACGATTATCTCGCAACCTGACCACAAACTTCCATTACGCGACCGCAATCACTCGGCACCTCCTGACTACGCATTCTTCCCAGACGCTGGGGACGGGGTTCATTCGCGTTTCCATTGAAACTTTCTAGTTTTCAGACCATGTTTTCCGTTAGTTGTAGTTGGAAAGATGGTTCAGTCAAAATCTAGAGGACATACATCAGTGATAGAGACCATTATTTTAATGGGGTGTTAAATGTTATCGTGTGACGATGTAGAAACTGGAGAATTTAGATTTCAGTGCCATAGACCATCAGTTTCTTGGGATGTATAATCTCAGCTATGTGTTTTTTTAGCTGATAGATCACGCAAAATGGCAGTTTGTTAACCAATTAACAGTTTTATGTTTCTGTACAGACTGCAAATCCGACTGCATACACTGTACTGTTTTCAAATAGGTGGATTATTAATCATGTATAGAATACAGTTACAAGACTGGAGATTAAATAATTTGAGAGAAAATTAAATGTATGGACGAAAAGCGTTCCTCCGGTAGATCCGAAGGGGCATCGTTCTTTAGGAAGGTGGTAGTAATGGTGCGTATTGCGTTTACCAATGTTGTTGGAAAACAATCCCGAAAATTACAAGCAGTGATGTACCCTATTGACTGACAAACGAAAATCTTCACCACACTTGCTGCACTTGTACCACACCATAACTCTCCGGAATTAATTTATCAGTTTACGGACGTAAATGACGGTAGGCTCGGCCATTTGCTGTCACGAACCGTAATTGCCGTAATGCGTCCGGCGTTATTTATATTTTTTCCGCCCGCAATGAAGAACAGGTCGGTCCATTAGTGAGATGGCTCCGTGCTCCGTAAACTGTAAACGTACGTCGGTCGTGACTGTACCATCACAGGCCGGTGTCGACATTGTCACTGCCGTACCGTCACCGTCGCCGTGCCGTGTTGATGTCTTGGACCAATTATGTCGCAGCTATTGCAACAACCCCGCCTCCCAGCAATGATAATACACCTAGAGAGTTATTTGACGGATTAGGTGTCGAAAGCTACCAGCTAACGAGACGCGTTTAACACTTGTTGACGAGTTACAGCGGTGAACGAACTTGCGACAGGTTCACAATTATAAATTTAATTTCGCAACAGAGAGACAAATAGTAGTGGAATATAATCCTCTGACGACAACAAGGGATCAGGTTTTTGATCCCGAAACGTCAGGAAAACTTTTTATCCACCAATCATTATCAAAACAAAGTTACGGGATTGGTTTTGGCTGTTAGTTGTGAGAGAACTCATTTTCATTTTTTCACTTGAGTATATCTGACAGTTAAGTTTTCACGAGGGTTTCTGTTAAGAAAGTAAAAATAAGATAGGTAACACAAACGTGTTTTATTTTAAGACAAGACCGGGAAGTAGAATGATTTAATTTTAAGGCCGATGATTCTGGTATGCTATACCACAGAATCAAGACGGGGGAGGCCCTTCGTGGCAACTTCTTTTTTGCTAAATTTAACGGTGACGCCGGTTTGAGGACAGTGTATGACAATGGGCGGGAGGAGATTAAATCGTTACACGAAGGCAAACACATTTTTCACAAATTTGCGTGTATGTCTGATTTGCCAAAACCAGAGTTTGAAGATATTCCATGGAGTCACTCTCCAAGACAGTTGCAACGTGCCCATAGGAAACAGCCAACGTCAACGACAACGGTCAATACTAGAATCCCCTTATCAGCATATAATTTTATGATTAACTGCATCAGTTGCATAAGAACCTAAGTAACAACTTTATAAAACAACTAGTAATCTTTCCACTTTCCACAGTCAAAGGTCCACACTGCGCACTGTGCTGGAGAATGGAGTCGGCGCGGCGAAGGCTCGTGTAGATACAATCTGGCGTGCGGCTCCCTCATTACATTTCCAATTAATTACGTCCAATTAAACGAGCGTAGCGAGCGAGCCGCTGACACATCTGCGTTATCACGACGATAGAGACGTGTCCGATACAGGACCGTTACTGCTTTACTGCGTTACTGGGTACCGATCTGTGATCTGTGATCTGTCCCACAGATACGATGTATCGGTCGTCATCTACACCCGGCCTTCGTTAGAACACGGTTTCCGTGATTTTATTCACGAATAAATTGACGATCGGACGTTTTAGTGGCAGTGAAATCCCGAGGCTAATTGGAAGATGACGATTTTACGGTTTGATAATCGGGGGAACAATATTGTAGATTGATCTCCCACACTGAAATGTCTAAGTTGAATACTTTCGTGGCATTTGAACGATCTGGAGCTTCCTATTCGATTCCTATATCACCTTCATTATGTGGCAGATTATTTTGGCTATGGAAGAAATTTACTATTTCTCATTTAAAGTCAACCAATAAATAACTAAAATACTTTGAAAGCGTTTACGGCTATCCCAAGTATTTTGGAGACGAATGACGTTTCCACGAGTCTGTGCATATCTAAGCTTAGCCCAAGGCAAAAATAGAATAAAAAATAAAAATCATGCATTATAGGAAAAATCTTGTTTTTTCGTTTCTATACCACTGGTAGTTTTTCGTTTTGAGCGACGGAACGGTCTAAACTGTTTTCTTATTTCAATCTAACGCCGACCTTTTGCTAAAGCCTCATTGATTGACAGCCCAACGACAAATTACATCTACTGTATCCAGGATCGACCCAGTTTGGGACCGAACCAGCAACCGTCAGTTTTGAAGGAGAGTACTGTGTGTTCAAAATCTCAGACTCCGACTCCCCAGACTAGACGCCCCGCCACTGTCACGACGGCCCCGGAAAAGATCCCTGAGGTACATTTAAAAGAGCGGTATCCACCGTATCACTCGTGCCACGTCTATTACCAACATGCAAAATACGAGCGGGACGGCATTCGCATTAGCATCGTCATGAAATACGATCAACGCTATAATTTGCTTGTTAACGTTAATCCTAAATGTAAATGGAGCGTCGGGCTGCGGGCGCAGTGTTGACCTTTTCTGATGATCCTGCACACAGGGCTACACGCCCGGAAAACACTTTCTCCCAGATATGATCCATTTGCATTGTGTCCGGCGCGTGAGCGAGATGGTGTTTATGAACTGTAACACCTCACGACACATCGCTTGTCACAGACGCCATTGTGCTGCAGTTGGTGCGAAGATAACTGAAACGTTATTGAATTTAGCGTTGATCATGCTTTGGGAAGCGCGATTAAGGATGTGCCAGGGTTACATAACCTCATTTTTAGTAAGAAGCTCGAAGACCAAAACATTCACTTTTGGGTTTTGATTCAAAAACGCTTTTGGTAAATTACGTTTTCATCCAACCAAATATGGTTGTGATGATGGGTAATCTTCAAAAAAAGGAAACCAAAACCACGTTGCTTGGAAAGAATCAATGCTGTACTTTAAGTTCACAACAGTGCATCGATTAAAAAGTTTATTTTAAAAGAGGTATTTACGGGTTGGTAACAAACAATTTGGAATTCATTTCAGTAGCAAGTTTGAATTCACCCCTTTATGTACGCTTGTGCCTACCTCCAACCTAGGCCCCACAAGACACAAAGTTTATTTCGCTATGGTAAATTTGCCATTCTAACTATGAACCGATTATTCTAAAACAAACCCTACAATAAACCTACCAACAACTGACCCCTGTCTTGAGGTCAGCCTACCGATCAGCTCATAATCATGTCATTCGATACCGTCATTGTACCACCTGGGAACCTTCCCCGGTATTGCTTAAATTGCTCGTGCTTTGACGAGCCGTTTTGAACGCCCTGATCCGTGAAGCGGGCCGATCATATTTCGGCGAGAACGTTATTGGATTTAGCATTGAAATGTGAATAATGCGCCTCTTTGTGGAGACGTCGCTTGACTTCCGAGCGCGACGAGATAATGGTTTCACAATCGAACTCTTCGGCCGGACTCTCGGATTCCGCATATTTCCGCTTTAAATTGTTTAGGAACTCGGGAAGAACCGCTTTAGGGAATGCGGGGAACCGGATTTATTTCTATAGAGGTTTCTCTACAATGCCAGGCGAATTTATGAACAATAAAGTCACTATCGAGAAGTTAAATCACGTCGGAACAGAAATACTCGCCTTGTTTGGCCAAACATTGGACTCGGGAAAGACAAACGAATTCTCAATCGAGAAGATCAACTAGAAGAGGTGAAGAGGAACGATTTTGGAGGAATAGTTTAACAACACAATACCCAAGTATAAGTAAGTTTGATCTTCATCCACCGCTTACTGTCATCACAAAAAATGCCATCACCACTTTAAATATTATGGCATTTACGTACAGCTTAAGACCGTAGGACTCTAGAATTTGCCAAGACTCTTCTGAAACACTCCCTCTTACGATAAAATCCTTCTGCACGTTTCTAAACCCAAAGTCTAAACTAAACTTCGCGTCGACGCATCAAGCCTACCCTGCTCCGCCATAAATACTTCTCAAGTCACCGGAAACTCAAACACGTAGTCCTCTAACAAGATATCACCGCGCGGCGGCGTCATTTAGTGAATGGTGGGCACAATAATTTTCACCCATGTTCCCATTTGCGGAGACCTGTGACCCGCGGCGGAGTGGTGGGAATGGACTCATGCCCAGGAATTTGAACGTGTCCGGCGAGCCAAGCGGCTGGTCTGCCTTTGTGGCTCCTACACAATATACACCACCCACCACACTGCATCCCTCGATAGCCATTACTGTTATCTGATAGCACCGGCGCTAATGGGCTAAGTCTACGGCCGCAGACGTTGGTATTCCAAATGGATAGTAACTTACGACATTGAAATAAAGTTACCGCTACCGGTAGTACTAGAACTAGCATCTCGGATGGGTAAGACTTCAAAAGGATCTGAAGAAATGTTACGAACCAAAGTGTTTAAATTGTAAGTTTATAGGCGGTTTCCTCTATTGCTACTAAGACAATTGGGTAGATGACATTGGAACAAACCAATATAGCTTATTATTTTTCTCAAAATTTCACCTCTTTAATCACTCCTTCAAAGAAATAAATACAAAGGTTGAATTGTAATTTAATCATAAATTGTAGCACTTCTAAGGAAACTACTTTTCAAGACTTTACGCCAACATAAAATTGGAACAACCTTAAGTTAGACAGTAGGCTACATAGGAGATTCATCAAGTACGATAAAACGCATCTTTTGGAGTGCCACGTGATGATGACGTCAAGGTAATCACTGCAAAAAGAGTAAACCTTTACAGACATCAGATAAAAAAGTATCCTAACTAAAAAAGAGTATCCGGCACCAAGGACCAAAATCTGTTTCTTAATCGATTGCAATGAAACATCTGATTCTGCGCAACGGCCACGTAAAGGAAACCCAAAACCAGCCTTGGTAGACCTGGAAGGGGTCGGGTTACTCGGGATACCCAGCCCCGGGTCTCAGCTTGGACTGGTATCATGCTGATGAATAATTCAATTCAACCGTGTGTTGGCTGTGTCCACATCGCTACAGCGCCGCTACGAGCTATGATTTACTTCCACTCGCTACAACGTACAGTGTACTGGAGATGACCATTGTGTTAAGAGAATGCCTACCAACAGCTTTGTTCAATCTAAATACCGTTGGTATAAATATAATTTCAACTAGCATTAAGTGTACTTTCCATTGAATCAGGTAATCAGAATCAATTTTTTTCTGGGAAGGTACCTTAATCCCAACCCGTTAATTCCGTGACAATATTTAACTACTGTAGATAAGAAAGTTTGCACTTTAGAAAAACTTTGCGTAACATATTGGAGGTGAAATATCCATATTATGAATGGGAAGAAAGTCAAAGTCAATTTAATAAACTCCTCATCAAAAAGTGTTCGTTAGTCGTAGTAACATAGGAATGTTTTTTAAAAATCCAAAGGGATTTTTTGTATAATCACAGAGAAAGAACACCACTGAGGTTTAATGTCTCTGTGGTAAATTACATACTATAACTAGTATGCTCTTTAACTTGAAAACACCCTGCTTGAAAACATCTAAATGAGAGTAAAGCAATCTGAAACCCCGACCAATAGAAAGTAATCAATCAATACCAAACTTTTGGCACCAACATAAAATAACCAATTGCATCCCAAACGAGGTTAACGAGAGTTTAAACCAGCCGTCAAAAATTTCAAAACATTAACAGCGCTCCAATAAAAACCGCTCCGGAACCAGATTAATTACCGTGGGAAACCTAACGACGTTTTAACCGAGGCAAAAATCGATCATTAATGATTATGTAATGACGGGAGTCCGCGGCAGTAATGAAGATACTTTCACCGAGGCAGCGAATCGGCAAAAACTAGTGGATGGTTCACATTGTTACAGCGCATGCGCAGGTGTGGGGGGACATTAGAGGAGGTCTGCGTACTGCGTCTGCGTGGTTACAACGACTGCGCCATCAACTGCGGCTAATTCTGCTGTAACTGCCGCTACCGGCTCAACCGACATACATCACCGGCTAAAGGGTGGCATTTTGTCTGCAATCACCTCCCGATGTTGGACTGTTGGTTTAGAAGTGCTTCAGAGGTTCGACAAATTATGGTCTGATCCATTCTTAGAAGCATCAAAGTAACTTTTCAAATTTGCGAAATGTTAGAAATACACAACAGTGTTCTTCAACTGTTCATATATGAAACAAAAAATAAATATATTAGATATGAAACAAAGTTACATTACTTCCATTAAATTACGTCACAGAAGTGTGCAATTAAGTTTGTTTGAAGGATTTTTTGGTTCTTTAAGTGGGGTTTCTTTTAATGATTTTCCACCGTTCGGTTCATTCTCACCTGATGATGGCATCAGAATCCAGATTCTGAAACAACGCTCGCTGCGTTGCATTCATAAATGTTCTGTCGCTTCTGACGGACAAAATGGTCTGAGAAAGTGTACAAACGCTAAAATCCTCCAAAAGATTGAAAGATCATTAACAAACTCCAGCAACATTGGATGTCCTACCTTGCTCGCACTCGTCGATGTCCTCGGAGCAGTCGACCCCCTTGTACCCGCTGGCGCAGGAGCACGTGTACGAGCCGTTGATGGGGCTGGTGTCACAGATGGCATCGGCGTGACAAGGGTTGGAGGTGCAGGCATCGTCCAGGTGACATAGAAGTCCTGGAACACAAGAGAGAAAGGGTTATAGTCACTTGTCAAACAGGGCAAGTAAGAAACTGCAAGTAAAGTGCTTATGCTCTATTTTCCTTAGGCTTGTCTTTCTCTCCTAGAGAAACTCGACTAGACAAGGGAAGAGGATGAAATTCAACCAGAAAGGGAAGTTACTGTGTTCTTCATCAACGAGAAGCTCTACGTAGAACGTACTGACATAGGCTTGTAAGAGATTATGAGCAGTCAAAATCCCAATCTAAAAAGGAGAAGAGGCACAGGTAAAATCAATAAGACATTTTATATTGAGTTTTTCATACTGGGCCTTTCTTAGCAGTTGGCATTTGGCAAATAACAGCCCCACCCATGTTCTTGTTCCTATCTGACGTCAACCTTTAGTAACAAAGTAATTGGTTGCAATGGCAAATGGCAATTAAGTCAAGGATATATTCAAGAGTTTAACCACTAAAGTTCAGATTTGTAGGCAACCTATTTACCTCTCAACTACGCAGTATTTGATTGGACCTAGATATCATGTTTATGAGCTATTACAATTACTACATTTTCAAATACAAATTGACTTATTCGTTAATGAAAGAAAAAACTATTTGTGGCAATTTACGAAAAAACTACTATCAAACCATCATCAAATTAGCCTCGAAGAACCCTCAACAAACATACATCAAGCGATATGTATTGCATATTGCATACACAAATTCCCGAGCCAACAGGACTTGCTGCAAGGCACGCGTTCCCTATCACTGGACAAACCCGGAGCCCCGGGATATAAATCAATGGATCCTCGGAGGAATAGAGTAATGTTTGATCAGTGGAGGCGCGAGGTGAAGTGACCTCGACCCCGGGCTACCTGCCTCGGGCACGGCATGATGACTGCGGCATGGGCGGCGGCATGCCACGTGCTGCGGCATGATGCTGCGCCTCGGCATCTCGACACAAATCATACCCTTCATCCGTCTGCACTCCATCTTTTGTCCGATCAATTTCGGACTTTTTGGGATCGAGTGCATCTAAACTGAACGGCTTTGGAAGGTCACGAGTGACTTGTGCTTCTTCCGTTATTAATTGCAGAATGACGATTTCTAATATTTAGGGTAGATAAAACGTCCTTCCTCTTAAATAGTTCAGCGAAAGCGATTTGGAATAAAAATTTAGTTTCAATTATCAAACAGTTTTTCCCTTAGGCTAAATAGATGATTGGCTCGCTGGTAATATAACTAGACGAAATTTATTGGGCAACGTTTATTATTCAAATCAATACTCGCTGATTTTATATTAAAAATTAACATTAATTTACATTACGAATCTTTACCAGCATACTTTGGAGCAATCAAACCCACTTACATATAAACCTAAACCCTGATGTCACAAATAACTAGGGAGTACAGGCGTAGTTTGAACTGCATCAATCAAGAAGATATTCAAGAGGCGAAACTTTATGTCAAGAACATTCCTTTGGCACTTCAACGTAACGACTTCTGTTAGTGAACTAGTAGGCTGATCAACTCCAACCGAGTACAGCGAAATACTATGAAGGTTCAGAATCGAAAAAGCAATCCATAGCCTCTTTTATGCCTTATTTACGCAATAACGCCCTCCAGACGAGCACACTGGTCTTAGGATATCCCGTGAGTAACATACTTCGGTTTATTCGAAATTACAGTACCGGTACTATATTCAAGATTTGGCACTGAACCCGCACAATTATCAACAACAACTCAAAGCAAACTCTCCCTAGACTACGTATGTCTTCCACCATTACCTCGATACTGCACATCTCGGATAGAAGCAAAATGAATTCCAAAACGCACCAATTCCACCTCCATCTCGCCAGTATGGGTGAGGCGGCCAGATAATTAGCTCCGGGCAGATGAGATTGAGAGGTGGAGTGACCTGAGTGTCGACCTCACGTAAGGCTACTGTATACCTTCCACCTTCCTACACCTCGCTTCTCGCACCGACACGGATCACTTCCCGTCCTGGACAACGATCTCTATTGATCACCTCCCATTGCCATTGAACTATAGACGCATCCTTTGTGTTAATCATATTTGCAAATAGGAAAAATCGCCATCAAAATTTGTTTGATGAATTGGGTTGGAAAAAACACACAAACTGAATATTAAGGTGTTCTTTTGGTGAACACGCAAACAATTGTAAAGAGGAAAGAAACCATAACTGCTTAAAGCTTCATAATGTGATCGAAAAAGTATTTAGTTTATGGTTTGTTGCTCAAGTAGGCTATATTTGAGATAACGAGCATTATCAACAAAGAAAATTACTTTAACTCCATATATGAAATACTTTCGGGACATGTTATTATCAAGTGAGAGGAATGCTTCGTCAACGCAGACTTCTCAACAATTAGCTGGAGACCTATACATGATACTCATATGATGATAACCCCTTCATTAGTTAGCCAGAAGTGTGCTATTACGTTTAGATAGTTCTCTAACGGGGATTAGGTTAAACCAGGTTAGGAAGATGGTACGCATACGTTGGGTTGAAAAGTTACTCTGCACCTTTATCAGATTTTACACTGTACTTAAATTTAACGGCTAAATGGGGATAACAGCCACGGCTAAATGGGGATAACAGCAAAAACGTCAATTTTACTAAGTTACAATTTTGCCCAAGATAAGTAATCCAAACACTGAGTAGAGGTTTACAAACAACCGGCGCTAACATAGTGTCCAGAGGTGGTGGGTGGTGGACACTGGAATGCTACCTTGGCATCATACATAAACATTATGTCTCGTCGTCCACCTACATGATCACGATCTGCATCATCACAGTCTCCGTGACTTACAGTATACAGCTCAGGGGAATCTCTAACAAGCCTACAACTACTTCGATTTATACGACTGAATCTGTCAATTGACTTAAAAACAGTTATATATTTTATATATACGAGTTTCTGATCACCATCCCTGTATTTGTCACAAAAATGTACTTTACAAAATTCAAAATGCATAGCAAATTTTGTTTAGAACACCAGAGCAAAATGTACGGAATTGGGATAGGGATAGACATGTAAAATCATAAGGCACGGTAGCTTTAACGAAAAGTTTTTAACTGCTGGAGTCAGTTCTTTAAAAGGACAGTATACAAGAATATATTTCAACTTTACTGTCGTGAACGGAATTCCTATGTTCCCTAAATTTTGTTTAGAACACCAGAGCAAAATGTATGTAATTGGGATAGGGATAGACATGTAAAATCATAAGGCACGGTAGCTTTAAAGAAAAGTTTTTAACTACTGGAGTCAGTTCTTTAAAAGGACAGTATACAAGAATATATTTCAACTTTACTGTCGTGAACGGAATTCCTGTAAGTATATTCCAAACAAAATACCCTGTTTTTACTGGATTTATAACAATTTTGAGTTGGCAACAATTATTTTTCCAAACAATACATTTTTTCAATTTACTTCACTGAGGGAGTAATAACCCCGCGAAGCTGTTCAGATTTGGCGGGAGAAGCCTCGGTCAACTTGCGTCATGTCTTGATTGGGCTAATTTTCTTTTCCTGTCCTTGAGGTCAAGTGTTCTCTTTTTGTTTGCTCACTACTAGACCGGGTGTACCACCGTTGTTTTATGAATTGGAGGCCAACTAATACAAATGGTTAGTTTAAAAACTGTTCTCGATTTATAACAACCATTAAAAATTTAATTTGAGATCATGAATCATGTATATGATTTGTAAAAAGGTGTTGTCCGTTGGATTGAATAAATAAAAGAGATAAACGAAACCTCGTTTACGTGTTCCGAAAAGTACAAAATGTCCTTAGAGTTAGAGTAAAGATAATGTTGTGTTTTTTTTTTCAGCCGTTACAACAACGGACACACAGATGGATCCGCCTGCGTTTTTCGTGATATCTTCCAGAAGGATTCCGAGCCACAAAAGATTGAATCCTAGTTTACTATTGTTTTATATTGTTCAACTATTTAGCTTCCGGTCAAATGCATTCGCACTTCTTCCCACGTCTCCCTTATGCAAATAACATCGGGATTTTTAAAATCTTTACTTACTACTGTACATTGGTTTTCACACGAAAATATCTATTCAACAACATTAACAGTAATTCCGGACTATTTAAACTATCTTTACCCAAACACCAAAAAACAGTTCATTGACAACCCAGTACGTATACACAGTGTAAAGTAACAGCATCACCGTGTACATAACGTTTCCCATGTCCGTTATTCGCCAGAACCCCCATGTATAAACACCATAACCCCCATGACTGCCTCGCCCCGGGTCCAAGTACCCTACAAGTACATCGCCGGTTTATTACGTACCATTATTGACGTGGATTTATATAATAAAGCACTAACGAGAGCCATGGGAATCGCGAGGCAGGTACCGGTTGTGTTTACGACTAGTACAAACATGGATCGAGCATGTCGCAACGTCATCTGACAGGGATTTATCCCGTTATTGGGGAATTTCAATGATCGGGGGGTAAACCACCCACTACAACAATTGCAAACTTAGACATCCCATTTGATATCGCTCACCATAAATCATTCCAGTAGTTTCACTTGGTAAAAAAGTTTGTGTAATCGTAAGGAATCAGTAATTTAGATCAGCACAATCTGTCGGTGGCTCTCATCAACTACGACAATTTTGAGTAAGAAGCTGGTGACAAAACCAACATGGGAATGGAACGTCTAGTTGTATCAATAGTAAAAGCTATTAGCCTAGAAGTCAGAGTCCTTGCGTTAGATTTACTTAATGACGAATTTATTTTCAACACAGGACCGTCTAAACTAGGAGTCCTGTTGATAAAAAGGGACGTTTTCAAATTTTATTTTCACATTTTACTTACTCAATTTCTTTTAACTTAAACTCTTACTTAACCCCATATATTGAGAGGAATCTTCGATTGACTCACAACAAGGAGAATACAATTCACTCAGGGTTAAAAAATGTTTACGTGGCAAAAACACACTTCCCAAAATAACAGTACGCCAGTAAAGGTTTCTAGGATTCTCCAAAATTGTATACAGTATTTACTCTTTGTCATGAATCAAACAATATACATGCAATCAGCATTTAGGGATTACATGCCTGTTATCAAATTTACACTCCAATATCATGGCTTTATTACCCAAGAAGAACATTGGGCGGTTTCAATCAAAGAGAAAGGAATAAAAGATATTTTCCTCAGGATATAGGCCTATTCCGTAAGGAGAGAGGTAAGTCCCCGGTTTGGAAGGTAGTTGCGAGTTCTATAAATAATGTAACGTAGGAGCTCGACTCGCGTTCACTATCCACATTAAAATGCCTTCTTGGACAATTGTGTACTTCTTTATATGGACTAACGTTGCACTCATCTATTAAAGATGAGGTACATGAGCGGAATCAGACAATGCGATGCTCATCCTTGCGAGGAAGTGAAGAATCACCTGTTTTGATTCTGTTTCAGTTTTGTAAAACATTGTTCGAAAAGGATTGTGGAGCTTTCTTTTAGGATCGTTTTTCGTCAAGGTATTCTGCAAAAGGGTTGTCTTTTACCCTTAGAAAATGTAAAATAATGTTCTACAAATGACACAACAAGATTGTCTGGGAAGTTGAATAGTTTTAGTGTTCGCCTTAAAATGTGAAGGTTGCTGGTTCAATTCCAAATTGAATCAATTATGAATTAATAAGTCGATTGCCTTTGGGCCAATTGATAATGCTTGCTTTGAAACAAAGAGCTAATTTATCAACTAAACCTGGGTTTGAACCGTCACCTTAATATAATGGTAAGATTCACTGACACTGGAAACACCAATAAAACACGATTTCGAATCTGCAAAAGACGATTTTCTAGGTGCTAAATACACTATGACACGACATTTAAAATATACCAGAACAATCAAGCAATAAGGGTGCTTGAGGTGAAATGCGATGTTTGGAACGTACCCGCCAAATACCCATACTTTTCCCGGGCTACAAGACCCCCAGTTGTCCAGTTCAACGCCCACTCGCTTCTGCCACAATTGTGCCAATTACACACACATCATTACCCAATTAATTTACAACACATCTCGCCCCTTTTGTTTTCCACTATCTAGTTACTTGACCTCGTGTTTTCATCAACGTCGCTGACAGCAGAGAGGGTTCAGTCTATTGCAATTAGGAGATCAGTTACTTAGGAGGCTCCAATTATGTCTCCGAGTTTACGAGTGTTTCTGTTAGAATACATGTTTTATTTGCGATTTTTCGATGGTTGTAATGTTTTGTAAAGTTGATTAATAAGTAAGCTTAAGAAACACATATTTTACTATAAAAATGGGGAAAGCAATGAGATTTTTTAAAGTAAAGAACCAATAACTTCACTTCAAGTCATAAATAAGTAGAAACTAGTACTACAGAGTTATAGAGTTATAGAGTGTATAGAGGAAGTATCAGTGAAACTAAAAATATACCGAGAACTTAGGGTAAATTGATAAAATTTTGGAGGGAAATTCAACTACAAATAAATATCATGCAGCAATGATACTTGATTGAATTATTGTTTTAAATAAATGATTTTTTAAATTAATAAAGCATAACGTCAAGAAAAAGACACACAGGCACTTTTCTTTTTGTGTACCAATAGGTCAATAAAGGCAAAATTGTTAAATTTTCCATACATTCCGGTTAGTTGCGGGTTAGAGCTTATCTATAATATTAAAACGAAACAGTGTTTTTTTATTTCACTATTCCGAATCAACCACTCGACGGATTTTCATGATTTTTGTGTTGAAAGAAAGATAATTTTGAGAACTAGGGAATGTCGAAGCCATAATTTTAGTTAAGGGTCCCAGTTTTTTTGAAATTACGTTTTAATTTTTAAAAAGTCTAGCAGCCGACGCTAAGATACTAAACTAGCTTTTGACATAAAATAATTTGCTTAACATAACAGCTGTAAACATTCAGCTTTTGTGTCGCAAATTCAGCATTTGGATAAAAATGTAAAGGCATACTTAAGGTTGACTTATTTATACTATGTGTAATGCTAATTATTGATACGTTCAATTCTTCTGTAAGAGGATGACATATTAGTTAAATTATACATAGTAAAATACTAGGATGTTCAAATTTTTTTAAAAAGCAATCTTTGTAATCTTCGATTTGTTTTAGAGCAATATAATTTGTTTTAACTAACAGCTGGTTAAATATAAACTATGGAACTATGAGGTTATTTTATTTACTCTTATTTAGTCATTGATTATAGGAAATAAGTAAGATTAGTAGAGATAATTAGACAACAGTTTAACATAGTTTAGACCAAAATTAATTAAATCACAGTACAAATCGAGGCTCTTTACACGAGTCTTAATAAAAAAGGACAAATGCAAATTATTTTACTGCTAAACCTTTCAAGGAAAGATTAGAGAAATAACAATGTTTACATGTTTTAATTCTTCATGGTAGCTTTTTGTTTACAATTAATGTTTGTCTGCTTTAACTTTGTTTGAATTAGGCCCGGAAATATTGATGTCATAAAAAGAAGATAAAGAATAATCAGGAATCACGATTTTAAATTACTATTACAACCTCAGCCGGGTTTTATACAAAGATAAACAGATAGATGACATAGATTGAACACAACGTCAACATTATGGCCTAGGATACTGCAATTAGACAAACCATCCTTTTATGAAATCGTGTTCAGTTGTGGTTACGTTTGGGGTGCCTATATCAGCGCCCACAAACCTGAAAATATCACTTTTATTTCAACCATGAATATATTGTAGTTTAAATTAACTAATATGGGAAATTACGATGTACATTTATTCAATGAGGGTGGGTAATTATCAAGGATAGAACTGATAACGGTATGGATAGTAAACATTGACAATTACGTTATTAGCTTTACTAGCGTGTTTACTTTTTATTTTCCTGCTACATGTGACCAGTTCTTTTTTCAAATGAATGTTATTTGAACCAAACAGCTGTTTCAAAACAAACTGTTATTGTTTTTACTTTTCTTTCTTTACGCTTTTTTATTTAGCAATTAATGCAGTGAAATTGATATAAAGGATAGGTGTGACGATTAGTTTTGATGTTAGGACACCAAAGTTAATTTATGTGTACTATGAATTTTATTGTTGTGAAAATTATCGTTTTATTTTAGGTCGTTTCTATTCAGACCTACTGGAAATTGTTTATAGTGGTTGTATTGTGGTGATAATAATTATGGAAGAGGCAGGTATGCTATGGAAGGTGGTATCGTTGACTAGGTCTATACACTTCTCAATTGACTATTACTCTCTCTACTGTAGGCTACTTATAATCAGTGTGCGTCTGTGCGAATCGGCTGCAAATCTTACTTCAACGCTTTTCACATCGTAAAAATTGCAGAATTGCTGTTTTATTGTAAAATTATGATCGGATTTAAAATGCATATCGTATAGGCCTATGATGGAATAAAAACATATTTGGTCACACAACATTTGTTTTAACTGACTACTGAATTCCCGTACGTAGGACGGGCTAACACCTCGTTTTTTTTTAAAAGGAATTAAAAAATATTCGCTGGTGCTATACAAGGATTAGAAAGAATAATGACGGGGAAAATATACAACACTATAAACCAAACATGATAACATGGAAAGAAAAATAAGATAAAACGTAAATTGATGTCAAAATTCAGAACGGGTATTTGTAATTTGATGTGAAATCTAAGTTTAAACACAATTTGACTCCATGATTAATTGACATAAAATGAGGTTACTAACCTGTCGTCATTCAATCCTATATTTGTTATAGAATTGCGTCAACCTCATTTTGTGTAAAATCAAAGGTTTGTATATACAAATCTAAAACTGAGGGACTAGAGAAACATGAAAGACGGAGAGATCGAAGAAAGAAAAGGGTAAAAGGTAGAAGTTATCCAGAGTTTACTCACCAGTCTTCCCCGATGTGCACTGGCAATAAAAGCTGCCCACTCTATCAATACACGTAGCTCCGTTGAAACAAGCAGCTCCAGCGCAATCGTCGATGTTCTGCGAGCAGTCAGGTCCTGTCCACCCGTTGACGCATATACAGCTGAACCCTCCGATGGTGTTGGTACACGTGGCACCATTGTGGCACACGGAGGGTCGTAGGGAACACTCGTCCACATCGTGTTCACAGAACTCGCCCGTGTATGTGGGAGGACACTGGCAGTTGTAGCGGTTGATGAGGTCCACACAGGTAGCGCCGTTCTGACACAAGTTGCCTGGACAGTCGTCTATGTTCTCCTCGCAGTTCTTACCGCGGTATCCTGCAACAGATCAGGACGAAATGGTTAGTAACTGGGTACAGTAATAGATACATTATATGCGATGTGTGAGCTCTAAAGGAATCATCTTATCTAATATATAAAATTCTCGTGTCACAGTGTTTGTCTGCAAACTCCTCCGGAACGACTTCACCGATCGTTATGAAATTTGGTGTGTAAATTCTGTAGGTATGCGAATAGAAAGTAAACTATTTCCCGTTTCGAAATTCTTAAAAGGGCTCCGCCCCAGTGGCTCTGGAGTTTCCCATGTTAACCTTATGAGAAATGGAATTAATGAATCTTAACAGCTGTTTCAATTAAACAAGTTGGTTCTGTTCTATGATGTTCAATAGCATTAAAGTTACAAGGATTACCAACAGGGTGCAGCACTATTATTTCTTTTACATTTATGACAACAGCTAATTTGCAACCAAAAGGTGAGTGAGCGTAGCGAACGAACTTCAACCTGGAGGCGAGTGAGCGTAGCGAACGAGCTAACCTGAAGGCAAGTGAGCGCAGCGATCGAGCTCCAACCTAAAGGTGAGTGAGCGTAGCGAACGAGCTCCAACCCAAAGGTGAGTGAGCGTAGCGAACGAACTTCAACCTGGAGGCGAGTTAGCGTAGCGAACGAGCTAACCTGAAGGCAAGTGAGCGCAGCGAACGAGCTCCAACCTAAAGGTGAGTGAGCGTAGCGAACGAGCTCCAACCCAAAGGTGAGTGAGCGTAGCGAACGAACTTCAACCAGGACGTGATTGAGCGATGCGAACGAGATCATCTTGAAAATTAAACTTAACGGTACTTTCTTTCCATCGGTCTGTCTTAGGGGAAACCTATAACTTTGGCGATACGAAGTTCGCCGGGTCAGCTAGTATATATATAAAATCCAATGTATGTTTGTATGTTTGTATATTTGTATGTTTGTCCTTTATGGACTCCGAAACTGCTCGACAGATTGCAATGAAACTTTCAGGCATTATTAAGCATTATTCAAGGATGGTTTGTGTGAAGTTTGGTGCAGATCCGTCAAAAGGGCTCCGCCCCAGTGGCTCTGGAGTTTCCCATGTTAACCTTATGATTTACCTCATATTTAAATGGAATTAAAGAATCTTAACAGCTGGTTCAACTAAACTATCTGATTCTGTGATGTTCAATAGCATTAAAAAGTTAATAGGTTTACCAACAGGGTGCAGCACTATATATTTTTTTATTTATGATAACATCTAACTTGCAACCAAAAGGTGAGTGAGCGTAGCGAACGAACTTCAACCTGGAGGCGAGTTAGCGTAGCGAACGAGCTAACCTGAAGGCAAGTGAGCGCAGCGAACGAGCTCCAACCTAAAGGTGAGTGAGCGTAGCGAACGAACTTCAACAGCTAATTAGCAACCAAATGGTGAGTGAGCGTAGCGAACGAACTTTAACCAGGACATGATTGAGCCATGCGAACGATCTCATCTTGAAAATGGACGAGCATTTGACATAAATCCACACTAGGACAGGACGACGTCTGTCGGGCCAGCTAGTTAACTATAATTACACAACACATAATGAATGACGCATTCCTGAATGACAGTAAACAGTGTTAAGTTATAAATTTATCCAATTTCTTGGGAGATTTAAATCAATTCGGCGAATTATGGTATACATGGGCGTAGAGGACAATCAGTCCCAGGGTCTACTGGCCAAAAATCTGTCGTAAAACATTTTGCGGTATTGGACTAACAGTCTCACATTTATCCTCATTGGCCCTGGGACCTATTGTCCGCTTTAAAAACAGGTAATCGTCGTAAACCAAACCGAACCATACATATAGCGTCGATATGTTAATTGTATCATGAACATCAATTGGAAAGCTCTACTGAGGAATAGCCTTTGTATTATTTAGATTTATGGATCAGACCTAACCTAATCAAATCAAATTGTAAAGAGTTTATACCAGCTTTTCAAGAATTTGGACATTCTATCCTTGACAAACACTGGACAGCCAGTCCCACCCCGAACTCCAATAAGAAGACCCACTGGAAACAAATACCCAGACTTGGCAAAAAAGATAGAAATTCCCAGATTAATGTTACTACTGGGCCTTAACAACTTTATCCCATTAGAAAACCAAATTTATAAATAATTCCGTTGGTTTCCCTCCGAGCAACTAGACTTTTCGAACAATACAGGTAACATTATTAGTAACGGCTGAGTTGGAAAAACATTACAGTCGACCTTGAGTATTCTGGAAAGCAGACTACTGTAAATTTTATTTTTCATCCAATGAAATAACACCTAACCTAACACAGACCAAGTACTTAACAAAACTCTATGTTTTCCACCAAACTTCTGGTAAATCAGCCTCAGCATTATTGTTTTGTACTCAGTTTCTCGGCCGGCGGCGGCTATCAGGTACATTACCATAACATCGCAGTCCGCGGCTCCACCTCCGATAACGCGCAACGCGGTTCCCAGCCCATTGTGCGGTGACCGCAGGGCTGTGCCAAACTGCGCCTCCTATAACTCAACAATACCGGCACAAATCACACAAACCAGTTCTCTATCGCTACATCTGGGCAGTGGGCGCGTTATTCCGTTTTATTACACAGTTCGTTAACGTTATCAGTGTGGTGACCCCAGGAGAGCAGTGTAAAACTGTCACAACGGCTGAGTGACTTGTGGACATACGTGTTATTTCTTCATCGCAGCTTCCCTATCTCGGGGTTCATCTGTCGTTTGGAAGTCTAGACGTTTGTCATCAGATTTGAAATCAGGTTCTGTTATTAAGGGTGCGTAGTTGTTTCGTTTTACTAAATAACTCTGTGGCATCATGTGTTAAACGAAATAACTCTATGGTATAGATAATTGGCTATTTATATTATAAACATTACTTTATGTTCATAATAACCTGTTATGCTGTTTTAGTTAACAAAAGGGAAGACTATGTTTGCAATCGACACAAACGTGTGATAATGTTTCTGTTCTTGACAGTTCTGTTCTATAACACACAACTTTAACTAGGCTACGCACCACCGTCCTAAAAAATAAGTACAGAATGCTGCACAACGGTAGTTTGAGTTCCATTTCAACTAATACATCATTTAGCCTACACAAAATCTGAGTGGTACTACACCTCTAGTGGGTGCATAAAATCATATAACAGTTTCGAAAAAGAACAACTTCAGACCTACTAGGGGACAAATCAAATTTGAAACACCATATGTAGCCTACTCTTAAGAATCTTGAATTGAGAAGACCAACATAAAACACGATACTTTCACCCACACACGCCCTCACACTCTTGACAATAGCTTGAACCACTTCTTAGGCTATAACTCTGCTAGTGTTGCATCTCATAAAGTATAAAATACGACACCGACACGTCAGTAATAACCCTTGAGCACTCCTCAGCGTGTACACAGACTGGCCACATGGCCGTGCTAACAAGAGGATCAAACAGGCCACGTCTAGACAACACACGTCTGTGTAGTGGCCTAAAATATGTAGACAGACAGGCCGAACCCCACATCCGTAACACAACTATAACAAGCTAAACCCCTAGAAGAATACAGCGAAATTCGATGAAACGTTGACGCAGTAAGGGTACAATAGTTCAAGAAAGTGAGGTGGTTGTGATGTCCCTAGCTTGTTAAGCTGTAAGCAAGGTTTAAGATGTATTCACCTTCTTTTCAGCAATGTACTTTTATTTCCAATAAAATGTTCATATAGGCTAGACTTTGATTGCATTGGATATTATTGCCAACCTCTCCTTTAGCGATCAACTATTTTAAACTGAGCCACTACATCACAGAAGAGTCTAGAAAGTGATTCGAAGTTCAAGCTAAACCAAGTTTAAATTAAACTGAGGCCAGCAGATTAACATTGATTATTGATTAAAATTGAAAAACTTTCACATAGCTCACTTCAAAATAAAAGACGAATGCAACAATCAAGCCTTGGATCAGTTGACTTAGAAAACCTATTGAAATCGGTTTAATGTTAACTTTTCAGGCATAGAATATCTACATTCAAATCTTACGCTTACAAAAAATTTCCCCTCTGCATTTCAATCAATTCAAATTACTCTGATCACAAAATTTATAAAACACAAAAACCGAAAAACCTAATCTTACTACCTCCATCAGACATGCCCGAGTCGAACCTAACAAAATTAAAGGAATGGCGAATGGCGGGACCAACACCTTCATTTGTTACAGAGTTATGCATATTGCCGCGGAGTGATATACTGAGTGAGATAACGAAGTGTACAATGGCGGCCAGAGTGATCAGCTGGCAGCGCGAGAGATTAATGTGGCAACCGGTGACGTCATCTGCATAACGAGATCCGCGACAGTTATGATCTTGGGCGTTGGTGCCAGTGTAGAATGGGTTCATAAGGTTACTAGGGGCAACCATTTGGTGTTGGCGTTACGTAATTAGGAGATATGAAACATCCTTTGGATTCCTTTCGTCCACGGACTTAAAACCACTTGAAAGTATAAATGTCCGATTCGTGTCCTGCCTTCTCATCAGGAGAAGAAATATATATAGAAAATAAAAGGCAAACAAAAATGAGATTTTTTCTGGAAGGCCAGAGTTCTCAGTAAGAGTAGTGCCTCCATATTATGTTCACAAGATATACAACACATTTCAAAACACTAATACAATTTATCTTGAATAGGGATTACTGATGTAATTAGACATTCCATACGTACCAGCAGTGGCAAATTTTCTATTTAAATAAAACATGGTTGAGTGAGTCTCCCGCAGAATACGCCACTGACAAAATGCGAGTTTTCTCCCTTCGGTTTTTGATAGAGTACTATGATAGAAATGTGTGTATAAGAGTACTTTTGATTGTTGTTAAAAGTGCGCCAAGGAGCACCTAAATCCACGACGACCACTTACTTGGATTTGAAGACCAAGAAATAAAAAGACAGCTCTACTGGGGTCTACAACACTGGGGAGAAGGGTGATAGAAGATAGTGGAGACGAATCTTTAACGAAGCCAAAAGCTGTTGTTT